TGGCCTCGCTGGAGGGAAGTATCAGCCAGGTCTTCAAAATCATATTTCGCAGCATCTTCTTATAAGTAGATATAACTATAGTTACCCTACTTATAACCCTACTTACTAAGTCCCATGATCCTCTAAACGGCTGTGTAGTAGAGAAATGTGTCAATCAGAGGGCTTCGTTTGGGATTGCAACCCTCAAAGCCTTCCAGCCCACACCCTCAATCCTAAACTCTACACCCTAAGCCCTAAAACTTAAACTCTAAATCCCAAACATGACTTTTGATTGATCTTTGTGTACGTGACATCACCGCAAAGATGGTGCCACAAAGGGTTCCAAGTGCCAGTTCAGCAAAACCCGTTTCTGGAATTTTAAGCCCTGAAACCTTAAAGGCCTAAGTCCAACACCCGAAGCTCAAGCAATCTCCCAGACTTCCACTCCAAGCTTGACTGGGCTCTGGTAAAGGGGTTTAAGTCAAGCTACATCTGCAGACCTTGCCAGGCTTGTCCGAGTGTGAGTGTCAAAAAAGTCAAGCTGCCATATTCGGGATCTATGGTAAATAATGTGGCTTCTTTCTTATGGCAACTTGAATTTAACCGCTTACGTAGCAAGAACCCCGTTGAATCCGTTCCGCGCCAACCCAGTTGCAACTATCTCCCTGCTGGATGCGAAGGGAATTTGCGCATTGAGGGTTTAAGCCTTTGTGGTTATGTTTTTCGATGGGGGTAGCGTGTTTGGGCTGCCTCACCCGGAACAACCTACCTTTTTAAGGACGTATATAAGGAAATCACAATAAGGAGCCCTTAGGTTATTCAGGGTTAAGGTGGGGTTTGGGATTTACTCGTACAAGTCTGATCCGGTGCACGTCCAACACCTCCAGTGGAAGCCTAAACCGAAACCCGTCTGGCAGCAACTGAAACACAGGCCGCAGTTATCTTAGTTCCTGGGTGCTCCCCACCCGAATATCCGGAAACCTGAACCCTACACCCGAAACCCTCAAGGCTGTATCAATCTCCGTTTCAGAAGCCCGAAAGCCCCGGCATCCTTGAAGGTAATTGCTGAGCTCGGCCCTGTCACACAGCTGGCACAGGATGGGCGCGGGTCTGCATGCCTTTAGGGCTTAGGGTTCAAGTGGCATTTGATCTAATTTCTGGGTTTTGAGAGTCTTTGCTTGTGCGAAGGCTTTCCTGGGTTCTTGTTCAGGATTTTAAGTTCCCATCGTAGAGAAGCCGAATTATTAATTGTTATTTACTATGGATCCCTTTTGTGGTAAGTTAGGCTAAACCCCTTAAGAAGAACACAGTCTCGGCCCTGACTTCAAGCGTTTAGGTTTAAGGTTTGGGATTAAAGGGGGGACGTTCAACCAGAGGCGTTGGGTTCTATTTTTGGGGGGGGGATTGAGGGGGTGCTTATCACCTATGAACCTCCTACTGGCCGAAGCATGAAGCCGCCTGAGCCGACTAGGCTCCACCGCGGTTTTCTTCTGCCCGCAGCCTAGTATAGGGACCTTCTTTATGGCCTATACTATTTGGGGGTTCCTTATTGCATTCAAAAAATGGTGCAATAGGCCACAAACCCCAATTCTAATCATTAAGACCCCTATACTCTATAGTAGCCGTATGGATCCCTTATAGAAGCTCCTTTAGAGGCCCCTTAAAAGGAGATTCTAAGGCTTAAGGCTCCCATATTGGAACTACCGAGCCCCCAGGACCTCGTGGAGGAGCCGGGCAGCTCCGAGGAAAAATGCAAACTTTCCTTTTCGCTTTCATGGCACGTCCTATAGGGTTATAGTATAGAGGGTATAGGGCTGTTATAGATTATAGAGGGATGTAGAGGGTATAGGGCTGTTATAGATTATAGAGGGTGTCATCAATTGGGTAGTGTCGTTGTTTGTCTTGATTTCATACGTTTTTTGGTTGGTTTACGCAGTCTTAGCAACATGATTTTGCGTGCACTGACTTGGGAAACAGTCCTCGTGCTTGCCGCAGTATTAATGCAGGAAGTCATGAAACAGGTGATTCTTCACTTATGTCCAGCGGAGTGAATAGCCTTTGTAGAAAGGCAACACGCAAATAACATCATGAATCTTGGATTGTGTTACAGTTTTTTTGGGGGTTCGAGGTGCCCGTAAAGCCCGTTTCTTCCCAGTTCGATGTACCTTGCTTGGGGTGTTAAAGGGATTGCGGCTGTGTTTACATTGTATTTACCTGAATCCCGGCTTCCTTATCCGTAAGTACGTTTGACGTCTGACCTTTCGGATAGTCATTCTTGTGTTGCCGGGCTCCATCACAACCCCTGAGAACAAAATGTAGGGTGCTCGCAACCCCTAACCTGTAGACGTCTTTCAAGCCCCAAACCCCATTGTAGCTCTAGACAATCAGCCACCAAAAGTGTCAACCTCAAACAGACAAGACGCACTCACTAGAGCAAGAGCAAGCGCGAACGACACCTTGAGTAAGGCACTTGTCGGCACATTCTACATTGCCGGCAAGAATATGTTCGGAAAGAAGGGCGACATCCGCGTTACCACGTGGTAGTAGTAGGTGGTAGAAGTGGTGGTAGAAGTGGTGGCGATTCAACCCTAGGCCCTAAATGCCAAAACCCAGACCCTAGTCCCCAAATCCGAAACCAGACTTCAACGCTAAAGTTAAACTTAGATCCCCAATACCTAACCTTTACACTTTTTGGGCTCTTATAGTTTAGCAGGAGTCGGAAACTTTAACCTTTTGTTTCTGTGGCTTATTGGGTAGTAAGTAAACCCTTAACCACAAACCAGACTGAGCGCTTGTGCGAGTTGCGGGAGTCGAAAGCCGGAGCCCTAAGCCGACCCTAGGTCCGAAATCAAAAGCCCTAAAGCCTAGACTTCTAAACCCCTAAACCCCTCAACCCTTAAATCCTAAACCTCTAAACCCTAAATCCTAAACCTCTAAACCCTAAATGCTAAACCTCTAAACCCTAAATCCTAAACCTCTAAGCCCTAAATCCTAAACCCCCAAGCCCACCGATAATAAGGACGAGTCAACGACTCTGATGCCATCCTGGCGCTCATCGACCGGCTCGGTCGGGCTTTTCGCCTTTCGGACCCTCAGCTCAAAACTGTTCAGGCCTTTGCGACATTTTGTATTTTCCCCTTATTGGGCTCAATAGGACCCTATTTACGAATATTTTTCAGAGGCTTTAAAGGGCCAACCTAAAAAAGTCGGGGGGTAAAGTTAGAAAAACCGTTACCTAAGAGAACCTGGAAAACCTTGGTTTGAAAATTTCATGAATAAACCTGAAGGTGCAGTTTAGGGTTCCTTTCAAGAGCTCCCCCTCTTAGGGTTCTCTGTGGGGTGGTTGTCAATATTAGGGTCCCTTTTTGGGCCCTTAGTATAATACGGCACCTAATATTTAGGGTACCCAAAAAGGGACCATAATTTTGACAACCACCCATGTGGGGTTTTGGTGCTTTTTTTGTCTCAAGGTTTGGGGTTTGAGGCTTTGGGGCTTGGGTCCGTAAGGGCTCAGTTTTGGGGCTCAGAGCCTAGGGTTTACAGTTTACGGCATTGGTCTTATGCTGTATATGTAACTTAGATCCCCAATACCTAACCTTTAAAGTTTTTTGGCTCTTATAGTTCAGTAGGAATCGGAAAGTTGAACCTTTTGTTCTTCTGGCTTATTGGGGTAGTAAGATGCTGCATATATAAAGTGGACAAGGGGTTTGGGTTCAGGGTGTTGGAATTATGTAGATCATTTGATGTTTATGTCCGAAGCCCTAACCCGTTATAAGAAGGCACCCGGATGTTCAGGGGGGGCCTAGGCGGCTTGTGGCCTGACCGGCAGATGGAGCCTCACAGTTTAGGATTTTATTGCGCTTAGGGTTTAGGAAGTAGGGTCCGAAACCCCTAAACCCTCAACGCCTTGGGGCTTTTGGGCTTTGACTTTCTGGGCATTCGATTTTGTAGCTGTGCTCGGGTCTCCGCGGTAAGCATTGACCTCACGCGATTCAAAAAAGGGTTAAGGTCTCAGGTTAAGGTCAACGAAGCAAGCAAAGACCCACTAATTGATGTCCGTCCTCGACCTAGGGCTGTGCATTTCAGGCCCAGCAGTTTGTGCAAGGACTTGTTTCCGCCAGCGGAGTCCGATTTCTGATCTTGGAAGTCAGCAGGTAAACCGCCACGCCACGAAAAGAGCCGGGTAGGTTTGAGAGGCAGGTTTGAGCGGTGGCTCAGTCCACTCAGGCGGGCCAAGAAGCCCTGACGCAAAAAGGAAGCCGACCAGAACCTCCCAAGTGTCTTTTTGAAAGAATCCTTATGGTCCTTAGGGGTTTAGGGGTTAGGGTCAGGGTTGAGGGATTTAGGATTTAGGGGTTTAGGGTTTAGGGGTCTAAGTGCATCAAAAAGGTCCTAAACCCTTCAACCCTGGAGCGTTGAACCCTCAACCCTTTGATTGGTGTGCTGCCTCAACAGGAGACCCTTAATAAGGGATCCCCAAGAGCTTATCTAGGCCTAGGGTTTTGGGGTTGAGTCTAAACCATCCGAGCGGGGTTCACACAAGCCTGTGCAAAAAAAACCTATAAACCCTTAAACCCTTAAGCCCTAAACCCTAAACCCTAAACCTCTAAACCCCTAAACTAACCCTAAACCCGCAACCCGAAAACCCTAAACCCCTAAACCGGGCGTATAGCCGAGGGTTTGAACTGGAGATTCCAGCGGCTTACGCAGCTGTCCTTGGACCAACAACAGAAGCCTCGTCCTGGCTCAGGCCGGTGCAAGACTAGGTAGGGCTTTGGGACATCTTATATATTCGCTCTTCTTGGGCTTAAGAGGATCTTACCTACTAATATTTTTCAAAGGCGCACGTCCTAGAAGACATCAAAGACTCGCGGAAGTAGCCTTGCAGGGCCAGTCTCAACTTCCGCCTAGGCGTCCCCCCCCTTTGATTCTAGCCCAAACTTCCCAGCCAGAAGCCTCATGCCATGGCGTCTTCCGATGAAAGCCGTGTCGCTGACCTCGTGGCCAGTCGAGTGGCCAGCATGGAGCCCTTTGATGAAAGCTTCCTTCGGGCAACTCCCGCATGGCAAGTGCTGCGATCCTTTGGTGCTGCATTGAGGTGGACCAACGAGGATCTTTATGATCGGAGCTTTCCTGTGAGTGCGATCCAAGTTTTCTGGAGCCACAGTTGGCATGGCAACAACTTTATGAAGAGGCTGCTGCTGCTTCTGCTCTACAACGGGCCAGCTGCAGCAATTGCGGCCAGCATCTCCGTCTTGCTGATGTTCTTTCTGCAGATTCTTAGTAGCTGAGTGGATACACTTTACACTTTTGGATAATATTACCCACTATAAGACTGAAAGTGTACACTTCTGGGGGGCTTCTGAACTCAGCAACTAAGGATTGCTGGATACCTACCAGGCATCCTCCGGGTCAGCAGAACACCACTCGATGAGGGACGGGAGATGGTGTTCTTCGATCCCCAATACCTAACCTTTAAACTTTTAGGGCTCTTATAGTTTAGTAGGAATATGAAAGTTTAACCTTTTGTTTCTGTGGCTTGTTGGGGTAGTAAGTGTTTCTGGGCTCTTGTGAAGGGATTTACTTTAAGTTACCACTGTAGGGATCCAAAAAGGTTCCTTTAAAGGATCTATAAGGGTTCTTTTAAGGGTTACCATAATTGAGATCTGTAATAAATAAGTTGGTTTCTTTGTTATGGTAACTTAAACTAAGTCCCTTAAACAAGAACCGAGGTTTGGCCCTAAACCCTAATCCCTCATCACTGATACCCTAAAAGCTGAAAATCCCTGAGCCCGATGAAGGAAGGGAGATGGTGTTTGTAAATAGCTTGTTTTCCTTGCTATGGTAACTTAAGCTAAGTTCCTTAACAAGAAACTTAATCCAAGGGGAAAAGGAGGGACACTTAAGAAGGACCCCTAGGTATATACCCTTAATATAGCTATTATATACCCATTAATTCGCCCCATTATAGGGTGGGGTCCCCATTAAGGGTCCCTCCTTGTCCCCTTTGACTTAAGTTCCGTATTAAGAGCCCAGGTTCGGCCCCTGGTGCACGTTGACGGCAGGGCTCGTGTTCGTGGTTGTCCTCCTGCTTTGGAAGCCGAGGAGTCTGGTCTTCGTGGACCAAGCACCTAGGCCCCTAAACCCCAAAGCCCCTAAACCCTCAGCCCTAAACCCTTTTATCGGAACCCTGGTTCATCCCTTTAAAGGACCCCTTATCGATCTCTTTAAAGGAAACCCTAAACCTAGTAGACGAGCAGGTGACCTTTAACCTTTTTTGGGTAGGATGGTCCCTGTATAATCCCTTTATAACCAAAAAGGTTAACCTTCAGTTCCCCATGATACCCGACAAGTAGGAGTATCTCAGGGGTACGTGGAGATCTTTTCTGATTTTTGGTTCCTATAGGGGACTAGGGGAGCCTAAAACCCTTCCTTTTTAAGGTTCGCTATTATGATTTCCTTATATAAGTCCTTAAGCGGTCAAGTGGCCAAGTATCTTAGGGGTACCTAGAAATATTTCTTAATTTTTGGCTCCTATAAACAGCTACAACTATATGTGTTTTGCCGGGTTTTAAGTTCAGTAAAGGTATGCATCAATCAGAAGGACGCAGAATTGAAGAAGAAGGGAATTCTCAGCATTGGTGCCTTCCTTAAGTATTCCGAGCAACTTCTGCTCATTTGGGACAACACATATGCTGGGCGTTTATGGTGCCTGCTAGAGCTTGCCGCGTTTCTAAAAAGCCATGAACAGCTGGATGAGAAAGTTACGATCAGGCTGACAGCCATGGCTCCCTGCATTTTGGGCGCTGCCTTTGCTCTCTGGGCTTCCATGCTACATTTCATTTTGATCAGTGAGCAAACTCCTCCGGGCATTCTGGCGCTTGTGCTGACACGCTTGTTCCTTGTGTACATTCAAGCCTCCTATCTGCGTCAGCTCTATCGGAACGCGGAGATCATGCTCAAGCAGCTTTCCGACTTCACTGTCGAGGCAGCGGGCTGTCACTGCTGCAATGATGCAGAGGCTTGTAATGCCAAGGTCTGTGATCGTGAGATCATAACTCGATGCCTTCGTCTCTGGTATGGATCGGTCGAAGCCTTTGAGGTGACTGTAAGGACGCGTGTCAGGAGCGTGCTACATCGCCAGTTGGGTGGATTGCTGTTTCCTTATGGTTGCTTAGTAGCTGAGTGGATACACTTTACACTTTTTGGGATAATATTACCCACTATAAAACTAAAAGTGAACACTTTTTTGGGGGCCTAGGAACTCAGCAACTAAGGTTGGCAAGTCATTAGTGCGTCGCCTTTGTTCTGGGGTTTTGCAGATCTCATCGCGGCCCGCGCGCGTGCCGGAAACTGGAAGGTGGCTGCAATCATGTTGGTCGGCACCGTGACTTGGTGCTTCTTTCTGTTTCCCTTCATCTTTCAGCTGACGGTGCTGCTGGCAAGTTATTGTCGCCAACAGCAGAGCCAGGTCTGGAAGGATACGCTGATTAGCCTTGCGGTGGCATTTCTGTCGACAATGCTGTCCTTTGTTGGCCAGTGGTCGGCGACTAGGTGACAGTTTGGAAGCTTTGAAATTTCCCTTATGGTGCCTCTAGAGTTATTACTGCTAGGATGCCCAGTAGTACCCTTATTCCCTTTTTGTAGTCCTAGGTTCCTTATATAAAGTTACCCAATACCAAAAAGAGAGGCCTTTTTATTCTTAGGTTACTGGGTATCCTAGACTGTGAAGGGCCCCAAAAACTGCAACCCAGGCGAGTCTAATGGCCGATGCTGTCGCTGTGTTTCTTTGGATGGGCGTCATTGTGATTCTGGCCGGGACCTCATGGTTGGCCCTCCGGTATCAGGCCCGTAAACCCTAGACCCCAAGCCTTGAACCCGAAACCGAACCCTAAACCTTAAAACCCTAAACCCTAAACCTAAACCTTAAAATAACCCTTAACCCTTAACCCTGAACCCTAAACCCTAAACCCCTAAACCCTAAACCCCTCAGGCCCGGCAAGCTGCAATCACATGGTGTTCCATCGAAAAGGATGTGGGGGAGCACTGTGTGGCTGTTGTGGCTGGGAAACCATTTGGGGATGATGATGCTAGTGTAGGAACCTGATTAAGAAACCCCGCCCCTATAGCCCCAATAACCCTAAACCCTAATATATATATATATACCCTAAACCCTAAACCCTAAACGCTAAACCCTAGACCCTAAACCCTAAACCCTAGACCCTAAACCCTAAACCCTAAACCATACTAAGGGCCCTGATAAGGACCCAAGGTTTCTTAATCAGGTTCCTACATTCGTTATCGGACATTGTCCGCGTTGGGGACTCAATGAGACCCAGTGACGCTGGACCTCTTTCTGCGGTCCCAACCCTCACAGCTGACGATCGTCTGTATATACATACATATATATATATATATATATATGCATGCGTGTGTACACATGATACTGTACATAATATACATATACATATATATATATATATATATATATGTATGTATGTACTTATCTATGTGTGGTGTAGTTGTATTACCTTAACTTTGTGGAGTGATTTCTGCATTGCAGAAGAAGCAGTGTGCCGTTTCGCTGAGGGTTTTTTTGGGCGATCGGTCGGACCGGCTCAAGACGCCCGGTCCCAAGTCCCGAAACCGGCTGATTTTTCGGCGAAGCAGCCTTCAAAGGAATCTACTCAAACCAAAGCGACCCTTGTTCCCGCTGAGGTGAAGTCGGATTTGCAGGTTCAGAACATCGGTTTTCGGTTCAGGTTTCCTATGCTTGTCCCTGGTTGCTACAATCGTGTGCTTCGCCCCTGCTCACAGTCTGGACGCGTGTGGCGACCAAAGGCGCAAATGCCGTTCCAGCTTGAGCCTTTTAACAGCTTTTTGGACTGTTCCTTAAACCCTAAACCCTCCTGTTCGTCTCTGGGGATTTCTTTCAGCCCGGAACTGCATGACGGGAGTTCGTAACGTTCTCATAAGCCTGGCCTGCGGGCGCTTTTCATGGGCCAAGATGCTGGCGGCGAAGCTGCCGGCAGTGTTGCCGATACGATGGCTGCTTTCTCGGATGAGGAAGTCATGATAGAACGATAGAACGTTCACAGTATGACCGTATCTTGTGCACGGCCCCCACTCAGTAACAGTTGGTTAATATTCGGAATATAGCTATATTAGGCCCTCTATAGCAGCCCTAACTTGGACTGTGACTGTATGGGGGCCGTACCCAAACCGTATCCAAGGCGAGCATGCGGATAGCTCGGTGTCAAGGTTGATGTACACAGTTTAGGAATGTGCTTTCTTGTTGTTTTGCGTCTTCTGTGCTGCACTGGGTTTCTGAACCTCCGCCATTTTCTCAGCTCAATGTGGCAGGGAGACAGCGACTTGCTCGCAGCAGGTGCTTGGTGCGATTCGCCTGGCGTGTCCAAAATCCTTTACTGCTTAGAAGGGGCCCCCACCCTGGCATAATAGGAATAGAATAGGGCCCTAATGTAATCCTTATAGTCACTATTACAGGGTGGGGGCAGCTTCTAATTTACTGCTGTTAGGAAATATGTTTTATTTTTATGGTAATAGAACTTAAAGGAATAAACACTAAAGTCGTTTGAAAATATGGTTCTAGGGGCGGCTAAGAGAAAACTGCTCACGCTCAACCCGACCCTGCTTGGAGTGGTCAAAATAGTTGCCAATACTATTGTGGGAGTACCACATTGTGATTCTAGTACTATATACCCCAAAACCCTAGAAGGCCCTTACATTATAGTACCCTTATAATAGCCCTTACTGATTTAAAGAGACCCTATCAAAATACACCATTTGAACCAAAAACTTCCTACCTTCCTCGATGAAGCAAACCGTTTCACTTCCAAGAGTCGTTCTTGTGAAATTCTCGGGTAATATAGGATAATTACCTATACTGTTTTGGGGGCTCCTTTGTGCAATTATAGTATAATGGGCCCCAACACCCTATTCTAAGTATTAACACCCCTACATTAGCGCCTTACTCTGTCGCTTAACCCGAAACCCCAAGCGGAGTTTCAGTCCATCATTCCGATGACAGCTGTTTCAGGTTTCTGGACTTTCCAAGTAGTGGAGATCGCCACATAAACGAACGTATATAGCACTTAGCACGTGGCACGTAGCAAGTAGTAGCGCAGGTGACTTGTGACTCGTGCACCTCTGTTCTCAACCTGAAACCGTGAACCTTGCACGGGGAGTTCTTATGCTCGGAGCTTTTGGGTGTAGGAGTTTTGCTCAGAAGTAGAACAGGTAGCCTTTAACTTCCTTGGTGGCATCGGGCTATATAGCTTCTCAGGTTAACCTTCAGTTCCGTCCCCATGATACTCGCCAAGTAAGTTACCATAGGGGCCTGAATAATTGCCAATATACTATTTGGGGGTTCCTTATGATGAGTAAAGTATACTATATCCAAAAACGCTATTCGAATTATCACGGCCCCTATACTATATAGTACACATGGATCCCTTATAGGAGCCTTTAAAGAATCCTTCAAGTAGCACCACAAACACCCTACTCTAACTCTTAAGGCCATACAAGGCCACTAATATGGAACCATTCTTTTTCGATCCCTCATAGACCCCTTCAAGGAACCGCTTAAGGAACCCTTTATGGACCCCTTTCAAGGCCCCTATAGTAGGATCCCGGGTGAAAGTCAGGTTGCATGGACCAGCGAGGCTGACGACTGTTGGAACTGGTCTTGCAACGCCGCCCGGCATCTGTGGGTTTAGGGTTCATAGAGAACCAACCCAATACGCTTTAATAAAGGAATATACCTTTAATCATAATTTTAAGCCAATGAAGTGGTAGTGGGATCCCTGGGCTTCGGGTGTCGGAGGGGTAGTATTGTTGAGATCGGAATCATCATTATTACCATGCCTCTCCCCTATAGCTCCCCGGTACTTCTTTTTGCTATACTATATCTCGAAGCCCTATTAGTCCTGGAAGAAATTTAGAAAGCTGCGGGTGTCAGATTCTTGGAAGAGGAAGCTGCAGGTTTCAATCGGTGCTTTGCCTTTGGGTCTAGGGTTTAGGCCTTACAGAGCCTGTTTGAGGTTTACCTGAACCCCAAAGTGACCTACCTTTTTAAGGCTCCTTCATACGCATGATTTCTGTACATGTATCCATTAGAAACAGTAGGTTAAGATAGGGGCTTCAATCATTACCTATACTATTCTGGGGGAATCCTTATTACAATGATAGTATAAGATATCCCTGAGGGCCCTTTCTAGGTTATAAGTAGGTTATAAGTACCCTAAGTGGACTTGCCCCAAAACCTACTTATAAACGACTTACTAAGTCCCCGGCCCTCTCCAAGTGGAATTGAAACACGGGTAAAAGATGATCCGTGCTGGTTTTGCATCGTCTTACATTAAGGTACGAGGAGTCTGATGTTCTAGCTTTCTGCCTTCTGCTTTTTCTAGAAAACCCTAAACCCTGAATCAAGAACCCTAGACCCCAAACTCTTAGCGCATTAAGGCCACCACATTGGGCGCAAAGCCCCACTGGAAGCCCTGTAAGAACCCTATCTGGTCGAAACTCTAAACCCTAAACCCCCTAAACCCTAAACCCCTTAAAGCCCCGATACTAAGCGAAGCTCAGGGTCCTCTTAGGTCCAAGAGTTGGACGAGTCGAGAGTCAGCTACCTCGATGCCGTCGACGTGCCTGTGGTAGGGGTCTAGGGTTTAGGGTTAGGGTTTAGGGTTTAGAGCTTAGCGGTTCGTGGGTAGTAGAAGTAGGGCTCCTAAGCTAATTGTTGCCCTGCGTACAACCCCATTAATAACTACATATTGGTAGTTGTCAAAATTAGGGCCCCTTTTTGGGTGCTTATTACAAAACGGCACCGAATATTTAGGGTACCCAACAAGGGACCATAATTTTGACAAACACCCATATGAACCTCCAAGTAGGGGTTTAGATTCTCGGGTTAAGGGACTTCGGCGTCAGGGGTTTGGGGTTACTGTTGATGATATAAATCTTGCATTACCTTAAGGACCGTACTCTATGGGATTTAGGTTATATTCCTTATTATGGGTAATGGAGGATTTATATCATCAACCGTAGTTCAGGATTTGGGATCTGGGGCCAAGGGGTTTGGTTCTGCTGAAGTTACTATGTGTTTAAGGGTTCAGGCGTTGAGGTTATGTTCTGGGTTTCGGGCTCACGGTTCAGGGTATGAGGGGGGGTTACGGTTCAGGGTTTAACAGCATTTTCGGTTCTTTTGATTTCCATTGTTTATCGGGTTTCGAGCCTCGATGTTAGAGATGTGCCTAAGCATTCAGTGCACATCGCAGTTTCTTACATAGGGTGGTTGTCAAAATGATGACGGTCCCTTGTTGGGTCCTTACTATGATACGGCACCTAAATATTTAGGGTACCCAATTAAGGGACCTTAATCTTGACCAGTACCCACATAGACCCCTTTAAAGAATTTTGACCACTACCCACATAGGGTTGGTCTTCAGAGGGGTTCTAGGCTTTGTATCGGCTGTGGGTGCTTCGATGCTGTCGACGTCCCTTGGCAGTTCCGGAATATCGTCTGTAGTTTCAGCTGCTGGGGTTGAACTTTAAACCCCAGAAAGTTGGAACATGGATTGGGGATGATTAGTGCTGGGATTCCTTATGCTATACCTCATTGGTATGAGGATAGTCATGTTCCAACTTTCTGGCTTCTACTGTAGTTGTTGACAACAGCTCTTCATTCCGTTTATGAAGAAGTGACGTGTATGTTTCGAGAGGAAGCAAGAGGTGGTAAGCCTGGAGGGCCTCCACACTCTAAACACGGCCCAGGTGCTGCTGGAGCTGGAGTCTTTTTGAGACAACTGGGAATTTCCGAACATAGGGGACCCTAATATAGTACCCTAAATAGTAGGATCCTCATTATAAGGACCCCCAAATAAGGTACCCCTGATTTTCGGAAACTCCCAACTGTGTGTACGGCGGGTTCAGTCTTCGGGTTCGCGGCTTGTAGGTAAATGGGTGGTTGTCGAAATATGGTCCCTTTTGGGGTCCCTTTTATAATACGGCACCTATTTTTTAGGGTACCCAACAAGGGACCAGAATAATGACAACTACCCAACCAGAAGCCCCCATAACTACCGATACTACTCCTTAGGGGTCCACTGCAGCTATTCTGCAATACTGTCGGAAACCCTATTCGCACCATTACCCTAAAAACCCTAAACCCCAAATACAACTGTCCTCAATGAGCCATGCTATGCGCGGAACCCGGAACCTGAGACACAGCCGAAACCCCATAAGCCCTCGAAGGGGCTCAAGATGTAGGAGAGTTTAGGGTTTAGGGTTGCTGCCTGTAAGATTCGGGACTATGCAGATGTTTGGGTGTTTAGGATTAGGTTAGCAGCTCTTCCGGAGTTGGAAGATGTGGGTCCGGATTTCAGGCATTTGCTGGGGTTCGGGCTTTGAAGCTTTAAGCCCAACACGGCTGCTGGTTCTTCGAAGATGGTTGGCACTCTAGCCCAGTGAACCCTAAACCCTAAACTCTAAACCCAGCGAGTTAAGGTATATCTCGTAATTAAGGGGTTTTGGAAGGTCTGGGGGGATTACAAGACGTCAAATCTATTATAGGGGCCTTAATTATTCTTAATTATTATTAGAATGAGGTTTGGGTGTCCACTGTACTACAACTATAATAGCTTAGATCCCCAAAACCTAACCTTTAAACTTTTTGGGCTCTTCTAGTTTAGTAGGAATAGGAAAGTTTAACATTTTATTTCTGTGGCTTATTGGGTAGTAAGAGCGGGAACCCACCAAAACCCTACTCTAAGTATGAAGGCCCCTGCATCACCCCCCAACCGCCTGAAAGCGCCTTGGACTATAGTAGGATCCCTAAAGCCCCGGTTCAGGGTTTAGGGTGTAGGGTTTAGGGCTGAGTTCCTATTATAAAATAAGAAGCCGAAAGAACTTTATACTTTCTCCCAGTGGGTTACTGAACAGTTTAGCTAAACAGTTGATGGATTTTGCAAGGTCTGAGGGGGATGGGAAGATCTTAAATCTCGACCTCAGAGCCTCGGTGTGGATGGTCGGGTGCCGAACCTCCAAAAAAAACAACCACACGAGCTCCGTGAACCCGGCGTCTGACCAGGACCCTTTGCAGCTGCGCTTTAAGAGAGCTCTTATGGTCCATAATCGTGGCTATGAAAGGTAGAAGAGAGGGTATATAGTTGGGGTCTAGGTAAACCCTGAACTCTAAACCCCGAACTCTGTCTCTGTCGACCCTGGGCCCTCTCGTACAGAAGTATGCCATGGCATGTCTCACTGGATCGGGGGCTTCGCAGCCTGGATTTGGGAGTTTCCGAGAATTAGGGGTACCTTTTGTGGGCTCTTATAATAAGGGTCCTACTATTTAGGGTACTATACTACGGTCCCCTATTTTCGGAAACTCCCATTTGGCAAGGCGGGCAAGAGGCAAAAGAACCGTGCGCTCTATGTCAGACGCTGTGTTTCGGACTATGGCTTCCGGCAAGTTTCCGGACTAGGGCTGAGAGTCTATATAGACCCAAGACCCGGATCTCGAGTTCGCAACGGACTTAATAGGATTTAGGCGTTAAAGGGTTTAGAAAGCTCCAGGCGGTGTTAGTTATTTGCTGTCCTCACTTCTTTCTACGTGACGGCCCCTCTGTTCCTCCGAGCCCCGCTTAGACCCATGGCCCCCTGGAATTGGAGCAGCTTGTGCCTTTAGCATGAAATCGGAGTACTCTTGAGAATGCTGGTAGAAAGTGGTAGAGTCGAATTCGGAGATGAGATGAACCGTAAACCCTAAACACAAAACCCTAAACCCAATCTTCGTGCAGGCGCGAAGTAGCTCTCAAAAAAATTAAAGAATCGAGACAGTAACCTCAAGCCCATAAACCTTGAACCCTGCCTCGCCTCCTCCGTCCGAGTCTGAGCGCCGAAAACCTCAGCAATCATAAGCGTCGTAGTTGAGTCTGCTTAGCGGCACCCTAACCCTAAATCCTACAAAGCCCTAAACCCAAAACCTTTAACCTTGTGGTGTTGATATAATCCCACCACAGTTGGAGAGGTGAGCCTTTTCTGGGCTACTCGGAGGATCATGGGACATAGCAAGTAGGGTTATAAGTACCTGAATTGGGGCTATAAGTAGATATAACTATAGTTGCCTTACCTATAACCCTACTTACTAAGTCCCACGATCCTCTAAATAGACCCTAAACTCTAAACTCCTATAGATCCCTGTTAGGAACCCTATAGATCCCTTTAAGGGGCCCTTTACTAAGTCCCATGATCCTCTAAGGACTCTAATTCAGCCCCTCAGTTAGAAGATCAGGGCTGACTTGCAGGCAGAGAAGCGAGTCCGCTCCATAAGGGACCGTGTCTCCTGGCCGCACAAGCCTTATATGGGTAGTTGTTGAAATTATGGTTCCTGTTTGGGTACCCTAAAAATTAAGGGCTGAGGCCTTGGATTTCAGCATTTTCCGTTCATTACAGAGCTGTACGGGTGCCATGGGGCTTGATCCAGTTCATATGAGGTAGCCTTCATGCTAAGCAAGGCAATTACGAGCGTGCATGTAGGACGCAGTAGGCATCTTGGCAAGTATATTTCAGGCATCGTCATGGGGGCACTAGGAGCTACGACTCTTTTTGACTTCACGGGATACCATTGCCATCGGGGACGCAACATCTTATTCACACAATTGTGGTTCGTTTTCTTCGCCATCGTTGCATGTTGAGAAAATCCAGGAAGCAATCCAATCCTAAACCCCATTTGGAGGATCATGGGACTTAGTAAGTAGGGTTATAAGTACCTTAATTGGGGTTATAAGTAGATATAACTATAGTTACCTAACTTATAAACCTACTTACTATGTCCCATGATCCTCAAACCCTAAGCCCTTATAGATCCTTTATAGAACCCTTGAAATGAACCCCTTACTTTAAGGAGCCCTTTAAGTTACCAAGTCCCAAAGTAGTGGAGATCTTCACACTTCACCCTAAACCCTAACCCTAGCAGCACAAGAAAAAGAGTGAAAGTCTGTGTGACGGCGGATGTTTTCGCCTGCTGACAGCCCAAACAACCCTCCCTTTGAGCCCGAATGGGGTGATGCGGCAGTTTAGGGTTTCGGGTTGAGGGTTTATTTACCCCAAACACACAGGGCCCGCTCAGCATGCCAAGCTTCATGCAAGACCCGCTCTAAACTCACTCTGAAATACGTCGGCCCCTCAGCCTCTGCCAAAACGTAAATACACATGACTGTTAGACCTAAAACCCCTAAACACAAAAGCAACCCCCAACCACCCTAAACCCTAAGCCTTAACCCCTACACCCTAAACTCTTTAAACCCTAAACCTAACATGTTTTTAAACCTAAACCCTAAACTCTCTAAACCCGAAACCCGAAAACCCTAAACTCCCAAACCCTCCACCCCCCAACCCGCAAGGTTGCGTTCCTTGGCAGCGCGCTGAAGACGCCGCCGCCGAGGCCAGGAGGACCACCGGCCCCCGGCGCCACGGCGGAGCGCGAGCCTTAAAGGGAACTCCAGAAAGTTGGAATATGGTTTCAGGGTAGGACACCTTATAATTTACCATAAAGGGCTTAGGATAATCATATTCCAACTTTCTGGCTTCTACTTTAAAGTTATGGGGTTTAAGTGTTTATAGGGCTTGGGGTGTAGGGCTTATAGGGTTTATGGCTTTGGGGTTTAGGGGTTTATAGGGCTTGGGGTTTAGGGCTTATAGGGCTTAGGGGTTTAGGGTTTAGGACTGGGTGTTTAGGGGTTTAGGGTTTAGGCTTAGGGTTCAAGGGCTAGGGGTTTAGGGTTTTGGGTTCAGGGCTCTGGGCTTAGGGTTTGAATTTTTCGGGTTTAGGGCTCAGTGTTTCGGGCATTTTGGGGTTGGGGGTTTTAGGGTTTAGGGGAGCGTAGGGTTTATGTGGTTTGGGACCTTGGGATCTATAGACTTTATGTTGTTTTGCTCATAGTTTAGGGTTCTAGAGTTTATGGTGGTCGGACGGCCCAAAGCGTGAAACGTTGGAAGATGTGACGAGTAGGCAGCCAAATTTAAAGTTTGATAATGCACTACCCCCCCCCCTGCCATGGCTCAAGGTGAGCACTTTTGAAACTCCTTTGCCAATGGCGCCCCTTTCCGACGGGCCTCGGTCCGGCGCTCGGCTGCTGCTGAGCGCGCTTTGCCTGCGCTTCGGGCGTCTGGCATGGCTGCCCACCTGCGATGACACTCTGCAGCCCGACGTTGTGAACTCCCACCTTGTGGCCTTAAATCACCGCAGGCGGAGGGAATACACCCGTGCTCTGAATGCTTCTTCTGGGCTGCCCGCGCCGGAGTGCATGTGGAGCCCCCTTGCAGGGCTTTGGACGCCAGCCAGCGCCGCAATGCGCCGCCACAGGCCTCGCCAGCTCTTTCGTCGCCGCGAGCCTCGCTGGCGACGGTTGGGCGTACCCAACGTGCGGTGGTCTGGCAGGCCGTATGCAGGTGTGCGGGTGCCCTGAGCCTGGCACGCCGCTGGGCGGCGAGCGTCCTGCTCGGCGGCGGGCGCGGAGCCCCTCCATGGAAGTGGATTCGGCTGCACCGCACCGTATCCACTGCCCGGTCAGCGGTTGCCCTTGTGCTGATGCGGCGCGCAGTCCGGGTTGGTCCAGTGTGGCTTCCATATGCGACATCACATCGACAACCACTTGGCCGGCTCTCTCGCTGGAACTGTGCCGGCGGCGTGGTTGCAGGCACAGGGGCGACAACGCTGCGCAGTGTGCGGCCTCAGTGTGTCTACCCGCTACGGCATCCACCCGACCTGCCGGCCGGCCGCAAGACATGCAGTGGATGGCGCTGGCGAGCCGCGTGCTGCTGACGATGGCTGTCCGCTGCCCAGCTTTGAAACAATCCAGGCGCGCAGGACTCGCACGCTCCGCCATGTGCCCACTGCTGCTCGGTACCTTTGGGGCAAGGTGCTCACCCGAGCCTTGGCTGCAGCCGCTCACCACAATGACAACCGGGCGTGGCGTGAGCTGCTAATGCTGCCGCAGTGCGTCTTGGGCGCTCCACCCCGAGCTGGCCGCAAACACCGCAAGGCGGCCGCGGCCAACACGCTGGACCGCTTGCAGCGCTGGCTTGAGGGCGAGCGCCAAACGCTGTGGGATGACCGCCACCAGCCTCCACGCAGCGCAGGCACTCGTGGGCCCACTGCAGAGCAGCGACGCGAGCTCGCCGTGGCTCTTACGTGGCTGAGGGTCTCAGCGAGGACGCCCCGGCCACTGCTGCCGCGCTGCGTGCCTTGCACCCCGCTCAAGCCGTCCCAAGTGTCAACATCGGTGAGCTCCCACTGTCGTTGGAGGTCGCTGCGGATGAGGTCGCACGGGCTCTGCGCTCTTTCCCTGCCGACACGGCACCAGGCCCGAGCGGCCTCCGTGTCCAACACCTGCGCGAGGCTGGGCCGCCTGGCACAGTCCCGTCAGGAGCAGAGGCGGCCATCCATGTGGTCCGGGCTTGGATCGGGCGCAACGGAGCTGCATCTGGTAAGGTTTTGGTTAAGCTTGATTTTGCCAATGCTTTTAACCGTGTCTCCCGACAAGCTGTGCTAACCGCTGCAAGCACGCACTTCCCTGGCCTGGCCCGATGGGTGGCATGGTGCTACCAGCAGCCATCCAACCTTCGGTTTGGTGCAACCACCACCATCCAGTCGGCTGGGGGCGTGCAGCAGGGCGACCCACTGGGGCCGCTGCTGTTCGCGGCTGCTCTCCAACCACTTGCCCAGGAACTCAAGGCGAGACCCCTAGACTTGGCCTTGTTCTTCCTTGATGATGGCATCCTGGCTGGTGATGTGGCGGCAGTCGCGGCCGCTTTGGCCCACGTGCAGCAACGGGGTGACTGTCTGGGCCTGCAGCTCAACCTGAGCAAGTGCGAAACCATCGCTGTGGGCAGCACCACCGCCGCGGACCTGCATCCGCACCTCCCCTCTGCATTGCTCCGCTCGGCGGACGGCCAGGATCGGGTTCTACGCAACTTCGAGCTGCTCGGGGCGGCGATTGGCGATGATGCTTTCGTCGCGGCCCACACGGCGGCTCGAGTCTCCAAGGCTGAGCCTCTCCTGACTGCTCTGGCGGAGCTGGAGGATCCTCAGGTCGGTGTCAAGCTTCTCCGGTCTTGTGCAGGTCACTGTCGTGTGGTGCACAGCATCCGCTGCACCCCGCATCAGGCTTTAACTTCTGAGCTCTGCAGGTTCGACGCGCTGGTGCGGGCCTGCTTTGCTGGCCTCACTGGGCTCCATCTTGACGAGAGCCAGTGGGCTCAGGCGGCACGTGGCCTGTCACAGGCTGGTTTGGGCCTCTGCTCCACGGCTAGTGATGGTCCGGCAGCTTATCTGGCCTCAGTGGGAGGGTGCGCGAAGGCGTGTCGCGAGCTGGATGCCAACTATGGGGCGACTGGGCTCGCCAGCCAAGCTACAGTGCTCCAGGCTACGGCTGCTGTTATCTTGCGACTTTCGGCGCCTGTGGCACCCCACCTCCTGCTGGGCATGAAGCAAAAGGCCATCACCTCGCTTTTGGACAAGGCAGGGTGGCAGCAACAGCTTGCGTCAACCTCAGTTGTTGGACGCGCCGTCCTGCTCTCCGAAGCCGAACCCGGCGGACGAGCATGGTTGGCCGCAGTGCCATCCGGCCGCAAGCGCCTCGAGCCTGCGGCGTTCGTCGTTGAGCTGCGCCAGCGCCTGGGCCTTGCTGACGCTTCTGCCGACGTCTTTTGCCCGTGCTGTGAGGGAGTTCTGGACCGCTTTTCGCTGCATGCCGGGACCTGTGTTGCAGGAGGGGAGCGCAACCAACGCCACAATGCTGTGCGTGACCTCCTCGCCGCGTGGGCCGAGCGTGCCGGTCTTCGCCCGGAGCTTGAAAAGCCAGGCCTCTTGCTGCCCCAGCGTCCAGATGACACCCGCGTGGCTCACCGACGCCCTGCAGACATCTATTTGCCATCCCTCTATGGAACTCCTGCTGCCCTTGACCTCGCTGTCACAGCGCCACAGCGGCAGGAGTCCCTCGGTAGGGCTGGCCAACAGGCACTGGCTGCCGCCACTGCTTATGCCGAGGTCAAATCGTCGCATATGGGCACCGCCCAGGTCTGCACCGAGCAGGGGCTCAAATTCGTGCCCCTGGTGGCCGAAGCCACTGGCGCTTGGGAACCTGAAGCGGCGAAGATCCTCCTCCTGATTTCCCGAGCTGCCGCTGCGCGCGAAGACGCCCAGCCATCGGTGCTACATTCTGAGCTGTTGCAAGAACTGTCCGTCTTGCTGCGCAGCCACCGCGCTCGAGCGGTGCTGCGGCGACGGGCAGAGAGCTCTGCCACGGATTGAGGCTGTAACCCTTTTCACGCCTCTGTTGACCAGGTCGTACCAGGCTGAGGTTAGACGACGCCTCTGCCTGCCCTGTGCCTGCATGCAGTCACCGCTTGGACGTGACCCTCGTAGCGCACCCATTGCGGATATGGAGGCTCCTGAAGCACCTCTCATGTCCCTGCTTAGATGTAAGTAGCTTCTGCCGTGTTTCGAGCTGCTTGTTCTTACAGGGGTAGCTGCTCGTATTTGTGCGCTCGTGGCATGCCACGGCCCTTTTGTACCATAGTCTAGTGTTCTAACTTTTTGCTGTGCAGCTAGGGGGTACGTGATAGAGATCCGTAAACCATCTTCCAACTTTCCCGCTTCCACCATAAGCCCTAAGACCCTAACCCCTAAACGCTCTGGTGGCCCTCAGAGCCACCATGGCCTTCCACGAACAATGCACCACTGGGGCATGCTGTTGATGCCCAGTCTACTTAGAGACTTAGAGGATCATGAGACTTAGTAAGTAGGGTTATAAGTAAGGTAACTATAGTTATATCTACTTATAGCCCCAATTAAGGTACCTATAACCCTACTTACTACGTCCCACGATCCCCCTCGTAAACCCTCCTTAAATCCTACCAAACCGGAAGCCCCTAAGACCCCCAAGCCCTAAACCCTCTCGAAACGCCGAGGTTCGTGGTCGTGACCAGGCCGACAGAGCTCGATGCCGCAGAAGCCGAGCGCCTGGCGCCTCTGGCGATCTATGTATGAAGGGTGTTGAGTATAGACTTTAATGTTCATAGTAGTTTAGAGTTTAGGGTTTATTGTAGTTTAGAGTTTAGGGTTTGAGTTTAGGGTTTATAGTTGTTTAGAGTTTAGGGTTTATTGTAGTTTAGAGTTTAGGGTTTAACTATGGTAGTTTAGAGCTTAGTATTGTTTATAGTAGTTTAGAGTTCAGGGATTATTGTAGTTTGGAGGTTAGGGTGTACAGTAGTTTAGAGTTTTGTGTTTATAGTAGTTCAGAGTTTAGGGTTTATCTATCGTAGTTCAGAGTTTAGGGTTTATAGTAGTGTAGAGTTTAGGGTTTATTGTAGTTATAAGGGATATGGTAAGGGTTCAACTATAGGGGATACATAGACAGGGTTCTGGGATAGTAAGATGTAGAAAAGAGCCCTCAGGAACAAAACTGGCAATTATTCGCCATGTGTAGCGGTGCCGCTAGGATCTGGTGTTAGTTTCGGGTGTGGCTATCCAGCAAACCATAGTATCAACTGTTCCTTCCATGCATCGGATCCCTCGGGGCCCACGGAGTTGCATTGTTCACGAGGGTACCGGTGGGGCTCGCTACTGCTGACACTCGATGCCGCCCTAAGCCCAAAAAGCCTCTCACCTGCTTGTAATCCTGGGCCCTAAACCCTTAGCGGGCTACGGTCACCGGAGCAAGTTGAAACAGCATCCTTTGATCGTCCCTAAAATACCAAACCGTGGGCCAAAAGCCATCTTCCAATTACCAAGGCCCCTTTACTAAATGCTTATAATAGCCCTTATAGCCTGCCTTATAGACTCCTTTAAAGGGAACTCCATATAGATGCTCTTCGTACGATCCCTTTTAGAATCTCCCAAAGAGGGGGCGGCATTTCTTCGAAGCTTTTCAGGTGCGCGAGCTGAAGTCGCAGGGCATCTGCTGCCGAAGGTGGGGTGTGGAGGGTTTAGAGTTTATAGGGGTTTATGGTAGTTTAGAGTTTAGGGTTTATTGTAGTTTAGAGTTTAATTAGGGTTTATTGTGGTTTAGAGTTCAGGGTTTAATTATGGTCGTTTAGAGCTTAGTATTGTTTGGGCCAGTTGGCACTACTAGGTAGCTTGCCTCTTTTGTGCGATGTGCGAGAGTCGAAGCCCTAAACCCTAAACCATATTTCAAGTTTGGGTGAGGGTACCGAGCCCCCAGGTTCCTCATATAAGCATGTTGTATCCCGATACCCTTTTCTATGTATTGAGGCCCCTACATTCTTGCTTAGCCAACGGCAGAACTCGAAAAGTTTTGGGCACGATAAATTTGGTCTATCTCAGAAAGCTTGAACTTTTTGGGTCCTGTTTTTGAAGAGGAGAGCATTCGAGCCCTTGTGTAAGAACCAATTGCAGGAACCTGCTAGTTACACAATAATATTCATAGTGACAGTAATACTAAGAATGTACATAGTATAAGATTACTTACCATCGTTTTTACTATCGTTTCCCTAGCATAATTCTTAGATCCCCAATACCTAACCTTCAAACTTTTTGGGCTCTTCTAGTTCAGTAGGAATCGGAAAGTGTAACCTTTTATTTCTGTGACCTGTTGGGGTAGTAAGATATGGTATACTATAGTCCAAAACCCTATTCTAACAGTTGAGACTTCCCTATCCTAATCTAGGGATGCAGGAACCCTAAACCCAACCCCTAAACCCTAAACCCCAATATGAGGGCACCCAACCTCGCAAGGTTGATCGTAAACCAGCTGATCGAAGAGGACAGCGGTGAGGCCCCGACCTGGTGACTAAACTTACCTGAATAGGGCTCCTTTAAAGGGATCTATAGGGTTCCTTCAAAGGGATCTATAAGGGTCTATGTCGGCTACTATAAGGGATCTATACTTACCTTTGGTTAGTAGGGAATGGTGGAGTGGGGTACAATTATAACTACTGTTACTGCCATTCTTCCATTCCCCACTCACCCAAGGCAAGCAAAGGGTTCAGGCCTTAGGGAATCCGGAGGGTTTTAGGGTTTAGGGTAGTGGCAACAAGGGAACCTGGAGGGAGTGTGGGTGTGTTGTCGCTGTCTCTCTATACTCAATGAAGTAGGTCATCAGTTCGCGTTGGACTCTGCAGGCCTCTCGTGCTGAGAGCTTCAGGTTTAAGGCTTTGAAGGCCTCTCGTGCAGAGGGCTTCTGGTTTGAGTATTATTCAGGCTGCCAGTCTGGCAGTGCTGCTGCCAAGCTGATCGGCAGAGTCTGGGTTGAGAAAGGGTGCCCTTCTAGGGATTGAAAGTCTTCAGCATCACATCCGAAAGCCCTCAACCATCCACTCTACCCTTCAGAATCCCTAGAACCCCTAGAAACCTGAAACTTTTTAATCAAAGGTGATGCCAACCCCAGGATGGCGCCCATACACAACCCGGAATCGACTCAGGGGCCCTTCGTGCGGAAGTAGGACTTGAGGGCGCCAGCCTTAATCCCAAGGGTTCCTTTAAAGGGATCTATAAGGTTTCTATAAGGGGGTTTAAGGCTACTTAAAGGATCATGGGACTTAGTAACTAGGGTTATGACTAGGGTAACTATACTTATAGCTACTTATAACCCCAATGAAGGTACTTATAACCTTACTTACTAAGTCCCATGATCCTCCAAGTACGTAATGGTGGTGGCCGGTGTAAGCCCGCAGCAGGCGGGCAAAAGAATCATCAACCGATGCATAATTGTTTGTGGTGCAGTTCTAGCCCAACATATTTCCACCCCCCTGGGCCTGTTGCGATGCCATCGCACGCAGAACTTACCGCTGCGCAGCGAGACGTCAGACCTAAATCCTAAAACGCGCTTAGAGGACCAAAAGGACTTAGTAAGTAGTGCTATAAGGTAACTATAGTTGTATCTACTTAGAACTCCAATTAAGGTACTTATAACCCTACTTACTAAGTTCCATGAACCTCCAAGCAGTCAAGCAGGCCTACTGGAAAGCACGCGTGGAGTCGCAGGGGCAGGTGGGACTCGAGTCTTTGGGTTGCCTCTGATTAACTAAGGCACGGTGGGTCCTGGGGTTTAGGGGTTAGGGTTTAGGGGTTTAGGGTTGTTATCTACGGGATCTTATGCCGAGGGGTTTTGATGCTCGTATCAGAGAATTTGAACGGTTTAGGCATTTCTACTCTCTTTAAGCATCAAAGCCTGAGATGGTGGGGTGGCACTATTTCCCTTGCCTTTAGAACAAGGATCCGATTACCCCTAAACCCCTAAACCCTAAAACTCAGCTCCAAAACCCCAACCCTGAACCCCTAAACCTTGATCTCCAAACCCCAACCCTAAACCCCTAAACCCTAAACTCCAGAGGGAAAAAAAACTCCTGACCCTAACCCGAAACCCTGAACTCCAGGCCCAAAACCCTCGATTCTCTGAACCTCGAAGACTCGAAGGTCTTCTCAGCAATGCCAGCCCCACGTCCTGCAAGTAATACAGGAGCTTACAGTAGAAGCCCAAAGGTTGGAAACCCAATAGCCTCAATCCCCAAGAGCAATATATAGGGAATCCCAGCATTTCTTGGCCTTAATCCGGTTTCCAACTTTTTGGGCTTCACTGCAAATAATTACCAATACTAGTTTGGGGATGCACCCCATGGGGACTTTGGGCTCACAATGCCCCGCGATCACCCTTTGTGGGATTTGGCCCTGTGCTGGGTTTCACACTCGGACGGTTCGCCCGTTTTTCCGCTCGCCGCTTGATTATGACGCAGATTTTGTGGGCATCAGCGAAGAACAAGACTGGTCTAAAAGGTTGGACGACATCCGGGTGTCGGTTCCTGCCGCGGACTACCCACAGCGTTTCCCTCATGAGGCCACAGCTGTGTCCGCCATCACGACCGAAGAACCGCCACGTCATTCCGTCGAAACCGAGTGCCTTTTCGACAGCACTCTCGTTCCGCAGAATCCTGGAATCAGCGGATCCACTCCCAATAGCCTTGTATCGTGGGACAATCCCTAAACCCTAATCCCTACCTTACTCCCTAAATTCCTAAACCCTAGGCCCTACCTTAATCCCTAAACCCTAATCCCTACCTTAATCCCTAAACCCTAAACCCTAAGCCCTACCTTAATCCCTAAACCCTAAACCCGAAGCCCTAAAGGAAGGGGCTGAGGCAGTTGCCCCCTCAGAACAGGGACGGGCAGCTGAGAAAATGGAGTTCAAGTTGCTGGGAGCCAAAACTTAGATCCCCAATACCTAAGCTTTAAACTTTTTGGGCTCTTATAGTTTAGTAGGAATCGGAAAGGTTAACCTTTTGTTTCTGTGGCATATTGGGTTAGTAAGAAAACCGTTCCCTAACGAGGTGTCAGACGAGACACCTGTTCCAGAACCAGGAGGTTCACGATTAACAGCCAAAATCGACTCTTCGTCAAAAGTTCGGATGCGCACTTACGATCGTGCGAGGATCTGGCTTCCAGGTCACATTGGGTTTCTGGGTCCTGTTGAGGATGCGTGCAGTCGCCCCCGGCGAGAACGCCAGTGGGATGATGGGCCCCAGAAGCTTAATCTAATTATTAAGGGCCCCAGAGTAGACGGTACACTGTAATCCATGATAGGCATAGGGTTTGGGTTTAGAAGGGACCGCTTGCCTCTAGAAGCATTTAGATTGGAGCCTTTTTGGCAAGTACAACGGGCTGCCCCGAACATTTCCGGACGTCGAAACCTCCAGGTCCCAGAATCTGAATCCTTATCAACCCTATGGTAGAAGCTCAAAGTTGGAAACCCAATAGCCTCAACCCTTTTGAGTAATGTATAGGGAATCCCAGCACTATTTGGCCTTAGTCCGGTTTCTAACTTTATGAGGTTTACTGTAAACCTAGAAGCCCCAAGCCCTACAATCCAAGCAGTTTACCACGGGATGAGCCCGGCGGTTTAGGGCTTTAGGATTTAGGGTTCAAGTAGGACTTTAGGGTTCAGGGCAAAAAGGGTTTAGGGAGGGAGAAGGTGTAGGGCTAGGGCTATTTAGGCCCACTTGTTTTATCCCAGGCTTCAGAGACCAGTACGGCGTGCTGAATCGGCCGCTTGATGGTTTCAAACGTCTGTGTTTTACGGAGCCCATGGAGGAAGCACCTGCTCCGGAAGCTGTAGACTAAAAGCCATACGCGTTGTAGCCCTGGTTGTTTCTGAGATGGGATTGAGCCCCATAACCGAACACCCCGTGCTCCCACCCTCCAGGTGCTCTCTGAACTGCGAAGCGTTTGCTCTTCAAAGTCGTTGCCTCTCTATGAGGCAGAAGGGCGGGAACGGCAAGGCACCAAACCTCGCAAACTACTAGCAACTGCGACAGAACTGTCGAAAAGTGCACGCATATGTAGGTGCCGCTGGGGGTCACTCGTACGGGCCATGCCGAACTGAGGGCAGTTTTGAATCTGTGTCAGAGGAGTCAGAGGGTGGGGGCCCGAGTGGTTGTCAAATGCACGGCGCGGGAATGCTGGGTTCTAGCAGATGGCTACTATCAGAAGAGGTTTCCTTATGCGGTTCTACACGGGATAAAGTCTTGTGGAAAGATTCTACAACAAAGAGCTTCACGAGGGTTCTGTAAGAGCTTCGGATGTGTCTTCAGGGCCTGCAGGCATTCTAGAATACTATAGGAACCGGATTAAGAAACCTTGGGTCTTCATTAGGGTTCCCTATATGATGGATCCTAATATTTTGGGGCCATAGGGCCAGGGTTTCTTCATCAGGTTCCTACATTACAAAACCTAGATGCAGAGAATCCAAGGGTCTGGTGCTTCCACGATGAAGGCCTTGATTTCTGAGACCCCCAAGAGGGGTTGGGCTTTCAGGGCGTCGTTCGCGTGGTTTGCTTTTTTTGTGATCCTGCTTGGTTCCTGGGTCTTAGCTGAAGGCCTGACGTAGGCATTGCAAATAGTCCGGTATAGGTAGTTGAGTTTACTGCCCCCCAACACCCCACGAAAGCAGAAGGTTAGCCCTTCCAGAGTAAGTTGCCCTGAGCAGTTTGGATTTCTCATCGCAGAACAAAGTTTCAGGCAAAACCTTGTTAAGCACCGATACCATCAAGAACTGATGTAACCCTGATAAGCGCGCGTATTCAGACAAAAGCTTGAAAAGGCTCTCAAAAGAGCCCTAAACCCTACCTATCGTCTCCATGGTAGTTCCTTTTTGGTGTTACCCTGTAGGATCGTAAATATGAAGCGGGACCGGGCCCTAAAACAGTGAACCCAACAACTCTAAAACCCTAAACCCAGGTTCCGGAAAGCCCTTTCTACACCAATTCCTTACAAACCCTAAACGCAAATCCCTTAACCCGAACCCCCAAGCCGTAAACTCGAATCTCTAAACCCTAAACCCAAATCCCGCAGCTGACATCCGAGCAGGTGGGTGACCGACCGGAAAACCTGGTCGGGCCGCCTGCGCTTGGCTATCTGGCCGGGGGAGCCTCAGGGTTTAGGGTTTCGGGTTTAGGGTAGGGTTTCTTAGTAGCTGAATCGGTAGCCTTTAATCAGTAGGGGCTTATAGAACCCTACCATAATCGAAAAGGTCCACCTTTTTTGGGCTGGGGGTACTCAGCCCCGAAGGTTTCGAGTGTAGGGTTTAGCCAGGCCAAAAGGGTGTACGGTTTACCTTAACCCTGAACAACCTGACCTTTTTAGGGTTCCTTATTATGATTTCCTGTCCATAAAAATGTAGGTTCTTCCGGGTTAACTCAGGGTTTTGGACTTGAGTCTATGGCCCAGACATTCAGGCCATTGAACAAGTCCGGATGCAAAAAAGAGTCTATGTAGAGGATCATGGGACTTCGTAAGTAGGGTTATAAGTAAGGTAACTATAATTATATCTACGTATAAGCCCAAGCAAGGTACTTATAACCCTGCTTACTAAGTCCCATGATCCTGCAAGTATGGGATTCTTGCTTGAGGTTTGACGGGGTTCATGGAAAGGGCTACGGCTTAGAGTCAACTTGCAAGAAGATGGCAGACAGATTGCAAGCCGCAAGGGATGGGCGTGGAACTGTTCTGCATGCCTAAACCCTAGTCTAGGCCCTACTCATTCAAATCCACACCCCAATAACCTTAAACTGGAACCCTTCGCTGTTCTGTTGGGATTCGGTTTATGGTAGCTCACTGAGCTTGGGGGTGAAGGTTTTGGGCTTGTTGGCAGTGGGCGTTTGTTACAAAGAAGCCTGAGAGAGCCTAGTGCACCAGGACGTCATGCAAGAGGACCCGGGCAGCCGGGTCTTGCAATGGTTCCCCATGGACCTTGGGGGACCCCGATTGCACGTGGTCCATGCCGCCACTCACACGTGCACCTGCAACAGCTCTAGAGGGCTCCCACGTGTCGAGTTTCAAGGAGCCTTTAAACCCTAAGTTTAAGCCTTCTAATTCATAAAGGTGACTACCTTCGAGCAAAGAATGCGGAACCCAGCGACTAGACAACGGTAAACCCCAACCCTTTCCAATCGTACGCTTTAGCTTTCGGCCCCATGCTGATCTGCCGCGAGCACATGTAAACCTTGAGTGCTGTTCTCGTTCAGTAGCAGTTGAAAAATAATGTCTAGAATACGGACATATTATGACCTTAATAGTAGCCCTAGTAACGACTGCTACTGCACGGGGGCAGTACCCAATGTAAACCCTTAACCCCTCAACCTAAGCCCGTAAACCCCTCAACCCCTAAACCCTAAACCCCGAGACCCGAAACCCTCCACCCCTAAACCCCTAAACCCTCAACCTAAACCGATTGAAGAGAGGCATCGCTGGCTTTCGGGGATGCCTCCGCCTTACCCAAAACGCAGGCGCCTGGCAGCCTTTGACGAGAGGTTAAGGGTTCAGGGCTTATAGGGTTTAGTGTTTAGGGCTTATAGGGTTTAGGGTTTATAGGGTTAAACGGCTACAGGGTTATAGGGTTTACGGCTTGTAGGGTTTATAGGGTTTAGGCAGGGCTTATAGGGTTTAGGGACAGGGTTTCGGGTTTAGCGTTTATAGGGTTTAGGGTTTAGGGCTGGCGGGCTTTAGGGTTCAGGGCTGAAAGGGTTCATAGGGCTTAGGTTTCATAGGGATTAGGGTTTAGGGCGCGTTTGCGGCTATATGTACCGTAAAGCATCCCAAAGCTCTACGCTCGTGAGCCTCACTCTTTTCATTCCTCCTGATTTGATGGGGTGCCGTCAGACATGGCGCAACATCAGCTAAGAACAACTCCTGATCGCTTTGGGAACCGTGTTGGGCGGTTCAGGGTTCAGAGGTCATCATGAGGCATGAGGCCGGAGCCCCTGGTGGAGGGCTTCGAGTGGCTGGTAGGGAGTCATGAGTTTTATGCGCGCACCAGTTCTACACGGAAAGCAGGGCATTCCCCCAAACTGTTGTGGACTAGGTTCCACAGATGTCAATATGCTGACGGACTGCGCTTACCTCAAAGAGAACCCGAGAACCATCTGGCTCAAGTAACTACCGCAGTGACTCTTTGGACCCTCTGCTGTAACGCACAATGCCTGACCTATGCCGTACCTCACGGTCACAGAACACGTCACCAATGCCTCATGCAGCCGCAGGTGACGCTGTTCGGTGGCAAAGGTGGTGTGGGCAAGCCTTTCGACGACATTTAAGCCTAAACACGCACAATATAGAGGGCGGGACGTGTCAGAACGATATGAAGTCACTTTACCGTATATGGAGCTCAGCTTGATTTTTGCCGCCAGACTAAGTTACTATATACTTACACAGTATGACATACACCAAAACTTTAAGATTAAGTCCCGAACAAAGCTCTTAGACCCTGAAACCCACTTTAAGGGCAGGCCTGGCTTCGCTTGTTACAAGGGCAAAACTAGCTCAGCCCTTCTTTAGGGTTTAGGGTCTCCTGTAACCCCCTTTCCCACCAAAAGGGCACCCTTCTTATGCTTAGGTTACTCTTGGGTCTAGGTAGCCACAGAGAAGTCGTCAGCTTCAGCGGTTTGGAGCTTAAGGGTTTGGGTTTTAAGGTTCGGATTTGGGGGTGGGAATGATTGCCTGAGTAGCTGAGTGGATACACTTCACACTTTTTGGGATACTACTGGGTTGTCCATTGGGATTTTTTATTTTCCCCTATATAACTTTTGTAGAGAACCACAGTAGTAAATCATTTTCAAAGGGCTTACAGGACAATTCAGAATACTACCCACTATCGAACTGAAAGAGTACACTTTTTGGGGCTTATGAACTCAGCAACTCCAAGAAGAATCAGCAGGAAGGATGATGACGATGCCGACCTAACTCTAGAAGCCTTAGCTTACTTAAAGGATCACGGAACTTAGTAGCTAGGGTTATGATTAGGGTAACTATACTTATAGCTACTTATAACCCCCAATTAAGGTACTTATAACCGTACTACCTAAGTCCCATGATCCTCCAAGTACACCTTCGTAACCCGAAAGTCCAAGCACCAAGTGACGACGACTTGAGAGCAAGACACGATCCGAAACCCTCACGCAAGTAAATCCCGAAAGTTTGAAACCCTGACTCTTAAACCCGGGAACATCCTGATTCAACCATTAACTCAACCTGAAGCCCTATAGACGCCCTAACTCCCAACATGCCCAAATCTAATTATCCATCTCTTGAACCCGAGGACCAAACAACTCCATAATCGAGTCTTCATACATCCTGAAGAACCCTCTACAAAGGGCCGTGTAGAAGCTTGTCAGAGGAACCCTTCAAGGCACACACAACGCCTTCAAACTCTTAAGTCTTAAACCCTCAAAGGAACCCTTGGAGCCCTCTAAGACCCTTGCGACGAGGACCTCCATGTCTTCGGCGATGGCAGTGAAGACGGCGATGGATGGACAGCGCGTTGGGCCTCGGGTCACTGTTTTGGCTCCCCGCCAAGCCCTAAACCATACCCTTGTTCCTGAATCATAAAACTACTACTAGTATACTACTACTACTACTGCTACTACTACTACCACTACTACTACCACTACTACTTTAAAAGGTCCTCATCATCTCCACCGACCCGGCACACTCCTTGGGCGATGCCCTGGGATGCAAACTCTCGGCATCTCGGCATCCTGAGACCAAAGCCCTCAACCAGCGCTTAGATGATTTTGGGTTTATAGGGTTTAGGGTTTGTACGGTTTAGGGTTTATAGGGCTTAGGGTTTATAGGGTTTAGGGTTTATAGGGTTTAGGGTTTATAGGGTTTAGGGTTTATAGGGTTTCGGGTTTATAGGGTTTAGGCGGGAGTGGGAGTGTACTTGGAGGTTCATGGGTATTTATAAGTAGGATTATAAGTAGGGTAGCTATACTTGTAAGCCATACTAGGGGGGACTTATGACCCCACTTATAACTACCCAATGACCTCCAAGTAGGGTTAAGGCGTGAGGGACTGGAACTTGCACCTCTCGACCACAAGTGTCTTCCGTGCGGTGGTGGGTGCGAAAAAAGCTTGAACCTCGCCATGCCGAGGCTTCCGCGCAAGCCGTGGAGAACTTCGCGGGCTCTGGAGAGCTGTTTGCTATGGAGGTGTCGAATTCAGACATGAGCACTAGCTAGGGGTCCTTCACGTCGGGGGTCCCGATGCTCTAAAGTTTCTACAGGTTGTTCGATTCCCCTCACTTTGCAACGAACCTCAAAAAGTGCATGTCTTACTCCAGATGTTATGGAAGAACCTTGAGAACCTACAGTAGAGTTTTCGCAGATTCCTTTGAGTAGACTTATAGATTCTATACAGCAGGGTTGAACATGTAGACTTTAGACTTAGATCCCACAGAGAAGCAGAGCATTGTGGCCCTCGACAAATGGTCCCTCACTACCCGTATTTCGAGACAACCTGCAGTAGAAGCCTAAAAGTTGGAGCATCAGTAGCCTCATGGCCTCAAAGTAAAGTAAAGGGAAACCCAGCATGAATCATCCGAAATCGATGTTCCAACTTTCTGGGTTCACTATGGAACGTAAGTAACGTAAGCCCTAAGAGTATTCCTTCGTTGACGAGTTTCGGAGTCTTGCCACACTGGGGGTGCATGGTCTGGTTTTGGGAAAACCCAAACCCTAAACCCCTAAACCCCTAAACCCTAAACCCTAAAACCCTAAAGCCCTAAACCGCCTGTGTTGGAGGATTTTCTGATCTTTTGCGGCTTGGGGGATCAGGACTCAGCCCTGCTAACCGGATTAATGACATGTTTTAATGCGTAGAGCTTTGACGGCTTAGGGTTTAGGGCTTGATGTATAGGTGCCGAATGGCTCCAAAATTATTCCGTGCGTTACTGTTCCTTCGGGTATGCTTTGAGGCACTGTCGTCTAGTCTAGCAGTACTATGTGCTACAAGTCTCTGTCCTAAACCTAAACCCCTAAACCCCTAAACCCTAAACCCTGAGCCTCCGTCCTCAGCACCGAAGCCACTTGGGCTCTAGATCCCCAAAACCCGCGCAATATGGGGGTTTCCGAACATAAGGGATACCTTATTTTTTTGGGGGTCCTTCTAATAAGGATCCTACCATTTCGGGTACTTTATATGAGGGTCCCCGATTTTCGGAAACTCCCATACACCCGAAGCTGCACAACTCTGGCTCGTAAGGCACTTGTACTGCCTGTTTGCGTGTTGTACCCGAGGAAGACTGAACTGAACCTGACCTTTTGCTGATTTCTGGGATGCCGCACAAATTGGAGATTGTGATCTGGATTTCGGAGCACGTCTTTAAACCCGAATCTGGGCCCCAGATTTGTTTTAACACTATATGGACTGTACTGGACCAAAGGCCGTGAACGAACCTGATTCTCGTTTGCCACGGGTGCCTCCGGGTTGTACATGATTTACCAGAATTTACGAGAAGTATACAATGATGTGCCCCAAAACCTTACTCTTATTGGTGATGCCCGTATATTGATTAACCTACAGCCTAAACCCTTTTGACTATACACCGAAACCCTGCAATGCCGGGCTTCGTCCTTACCAAGTAGGAGGGAAAAATACACCGAAACCCTGAAGCCTGGAACCCTAAGTTCTAAAACCCTGGCCCCTAGACCCTCCCTAGACCCTACACCCTACACCCTCTTCCACAGAGTGGATTCTGATCAACCAATCGGGCACCTCGAGATCCTTACAAGCACCTCAGAGGTCGACACAGCCGCGGCCATGAAACGCTTCCAGGAGACCGCAGAGACCTCAGATGCTCTAATGTAATTAAGAAACCTTAGGGCCGTTATGAGGGTTCTATAAGGCTTCCTTTTAAGGGTACTCTCAGGGCACCATAAGGGTTCTGGGGGGTTTGATGTAGGAGGGCCTATAGGGCCCACAGGATTTATAGGGTTATTTTAGGGTTTTATAGGGCTTATAGGGTTTATAGGGTTTCGGTTTAGGGGTTTTGGATCCCTACAGCGGACTAGTCGCTTAAGGGGTTCCGGGGTTTTAGGGCTGCTTGGGTTCGGGGATTGCAGATTTCGGGGTTTAACATTTACAGTATGGTCCAGGGTTTGGAATTATGGCCTTTTGGTTTTGACCAACAATCCAGTGGGAAAAACATCGGGTTGAGGGTTTCAGGGATTGAGATTGGAGCAGTCCTGCTGAGTGTTGCTTGTGCGCGATCTGCCTGGAGCTTTGATGTGGTTTGGCAATAGGTCGGCTTTGGTCAAACTCTAGATGCTACACCCCGAGACCCTAAACCATGAAGCCTAAACCCCTAAGTACTGCAATGCGGGCCTCGTCCTTGCTAGGTAGGAGGGAAAAGAACCCCTAAGCACCTTAAACAGACTACACCCCAGTCACCCTAGTCGCCCTAGTCCAGCCTATCCGCTTGGAGTCGTTTGACCCTGAGGTACCCGGCTCCTGGGTTACAAGTCTTCTGTTGTACTGTTTTGTAGGATTATTAAGGATCCTTCAAAAGGGTTCCTTTAAAGGAGTTTAGGGTTTAAGGTTTAGGGTTAGAGAGTTCAGAAGAGCACAATACAGTATTACATCGAATCACCGACTATAGAGCCATCGTAGATTTCATGCTGTATTCCATCATCAAGGGGTATTGCGCGCTTTGGGCATCGGGTTGTTGTTGGTTGAGGTGGGGCTTCGCGAAACGCTGAAGTCTCAAACCCTACAGTAAACCCGAAAGTCGTAAATCCCCAAACCAAACTAAACAACTCTAACCCTAAACCCTAAACCCTAAGTTCCTGTAATTTGAAGCGATTCGCAGAGGTCCGCGACGCGCTTCAGCAGAGGCAGAACGATGGCGGTATCGTCGGGCAGGTGTTGAAGCAGCTTCCCATGCAGGCAGGGAAAAGAGACTTAAACCTCACACTTCCAAAACAAGCCGCAAGTTTCATTGGGCTTCGGGCTGCATTTCGGGCTGAAGGTCATGCTGATGCAATCCAGTTTCTCCATGCGTTTTTGCAACCACTCGTCATTTGTCATCAAACTCCGGCCATGGCATGTAGTTTTGCTATTATAGCTCTTGCTTGGTCAGGTCATTAGGCAGAGTGAGTCCACCCTGCTTATAGAGACGCACGCACACACACACACACACACACACACACACACACACACACACACACACACACACACACACACACACACACACTCTCCCTTCCATGGGTTCTTTGCAGGATTTCGTGGATCTCTTCGACACCCTCCCACCGGGCAGTGACGAAATCGTGGCGCTGACGGAGGTTCTGGCGACCTGGCTTGTCGTGATCCGCAACAGATCGTCATAGGTGCCACGTGGATTTGACCAGGTTTGTTGGGGTAGACTTTCCGCAGCCAATTCATGGCTTTGGGTTAGGTGTCTAGATGACTTCAGTAGTGGCATCTAGGGCCCAGAACCTTGTAACCCTGGTTGCTTTAGCAACTGCCTGGACCCTAAACCCTAAACCGTGTGGGGGAGCCCCGGTCCAGGGTATGGGAGCCTGCAACACTCCCGACTGAGGTTATCCAGGGGTCCCGATTGATAAACATGAGCCGTGTAAGAAAAATGCACCCAGGGTTTAGGGTGTAAGGTTTAGGGTTTAGGGTCTGAGTCCTTATTTCGATTCCACCAGCCTACTGTGAGATTATGATCAGCATCAGCTGTTCATTGGTGATGTTGTTCGAATGCCTCATCTCCAGCATCATCTGCAGTGCATCACCGCACCGTCCCCATTCCCACCACCGTGGTCCGTGTCGTCGTCATCACTTCAACCTTATCACCACATTTGGCTGGTTGCTTCGGTTCGGGGTCTTACAGCAAACAGTACTTGGAGGATCATGGGACCTAGTAAGTAGGGTTATAAGTACCTTAATTGGGGTTATAAGTAGACAGAACTATAGTTACCTTACTTATGACCCTACTTACTAAGTCCCATGATCCTCCAAGGAGACTCTAAACCCTAAACTAAACCCTATAGATCCCTTTAAGGAACCCTATAGATCCCTTAAAGGGGCCTTACTAAGTCCCATGATCCTCCAAGTAGGCGCGAAGCCCCAGAATGTCCGAACCCAAACCCAGCGACCTCTGACCCCTCGAGCCTACAGCCTTCTTGGAGGTTCATGGGTAGTTATAAGGGTTCCTTTAAGGGTCCCTTTAAAGGGATTTATAGGGATTCTATAAGGGCACAGTGTTTAGAGCCTACTTGGAGGTTCATGGGTAGTTATAAGTGGGGTTATAAGTAGGGCAACTATACTTCTAACCCAGATTTTGGGACTTATAACCCCACTTACAGCTCGCTACCCATGAACCTCCAAGTAAACCCTAAACCCTATACCCTTATAAAATCCCTATAGATCCCTTTAAAGGGACCCTTAAAATCCGCACCCAGTGCCCAGTGCCATGCTGCACAAGCAGCGAGTGCCCTGCTACCAAGGAGAAGGTCGAAAAGGAGCCTTGCCATCTATGGGGGTTAGGGATCCCTAAGGTTCCTTTAAAGGGATCCCTAGGGCTTCCTTTAAAGGGATCTATAAGGGTTTCATAGGAGGCCAAACGGGGTTTTACCCTATGGGGGTTTAGTAGGGATTAGGGTTCCCATAATAGGGTTCGTATTAAGGAATCCCTTTTTCAAGAATCTTAACCCCCCCTTTTGGCCTCCCATCAGGAAAGGATGTGGGGCATAAGTTTTAGGGATCTAGGGGCACATAAGCAAGAAGCAATTAGCCATATCCACTTTGAGGGGTATCTTCTAGCACAGCTTAGGTGGAGGTGCTCTTGTGGAGGGATGTTTGACTGCGACCGCAAAGCGGGCAGGAGGCCTTTCTATACGAAAATCTCGAGATACAAGGATTCTTACAGGGGTTCTTAAACCCAAGCCCCTTCAAACCCTGCAGTGGTCTTGCAAGTGTTCTTAAGCCCAAAACCCCCTCAAAGCCCCAAACCTTCTAGGAACCCAGATCATGGCATAAAGTTCAAACGATGACGGCCCTACACGGCTGGTAGCTGCAGGTGTTTTGCTCGCAAGGGTGGGAGCACTCTCCGAAGAGAGCCGCTGTTCTTGGGTTTGGTGGGCTTTCCACAATGAAGTGATAGTTTGCAGCGTGTAGGTCCAGGAAGGATTGTGGGGAGGATTTAGAAGGGTGTTTGTATGTCTTGACAGGGTCTAGACTGCAGGACGGGGGTGATGGTTTCTGAGTCGTTGTAACTAGGGACAGTATCTCACTGGCTGAAGCAGTAGGGGCATCTGTACCTGGACTGGTTGGAAAGGTAGTTTGTAACTTGTTGTTTTACTTGGAATCGCCCTGAGTTAAGAATTAGGATAGGCTTTCGGGGTATGCTGTACTGTAAGTATACTGTTACGGAGCCATCAAAGAATACTATTCCAGATGCTGAGGCCCTAAACTACCAGCTTCTCGGATGTGTCTTCTTCCGGATACCTGTCCATTCCTTCTTGCAGCCCTTAGGGTCTGGGGTTTAGGGGGTTAGGGGTTGCATTCTGAGTTCAGAAACTTAGGCTCCAAGCCCTGAATCCCCACACCCTGGACTCCCTCAATCTAGGTAGGGCTTGGGGACATTTTATATTTTCTCTTATTGGCCTTAAGAGGATCTTATTTGCTACATTTTCCCTTATTGGGCTGAAAAGGGATCTTACGCACTAATATTATTTTTCAATGGCTTTAAAAGCCCCACCTATTGTTGATGATATAAATCCTGCAGTACCATAAGGACCCTAAACTATGGGATTTATGGCATATTCCTCATTATGGGTAATGCAGGATTTATATCATCAACCGTAGTAAGTCTTTAGCACTCAACTTCAGAGCTGACGATGAGCGCCAGGAGAACTTCGACCGCATCATCATCGACACGGCGCCGACAGGCTCTTTCACCGTGAAGTCGGCTTGGGGGCAGAGATTTCTACGGCTTGGAGGATTCTTAGCTTAGAGTTGAAGGTTTGGGGCTTTAAGGTACATAACATAGGGCTACCCATAGGCCCCATAGTAGTTCCTTCAGGATTCACTGATGAAGGTTCGTGGTTCTCGGGATGTGGGGCCCTGCTGTGAAGGCTTGCAGGGTCCAACTTCCGGGTGAAGTCGCAAGCCTGCTGCAAAAAAGGGATTTGGGGCTAAAGGGTTTCAGGTTCAGGGCGTAGGAGCGGTGTAGGGATCAAGGATCGAATGCCTAGGGAATGAGATTTGCTTGATTAACTCCACATCGACTCCTTCTTGGAGCAGGTCATGCCGTGCGCCTCCTGACGTACCCTGACTTTCTGGCCACTCAGCTCAACAGTGACTTCAAAACTCCACCAAGACTGGAATCTCAAGTTCCGGAAGAGCTAGAGAGGATCCTATCACGTATGATCCACAAATAGGCAGTTGCTCGTTTGGAGAGTGGAGAAACCCCCGAAGAACCGTTTACAACGAAAAGCCTAACCTGTCACCCTAAATCCCAAAATCCCCAATCCCACCCAAGCGCCCGAGCTACCCCAAAACCTAGACCCCTAAACCCTACAAAACCATATGGGATTTTCCGAAAGTAGGACTCTAATGTAGTACGCTAAATTGTAGGGTCCTTATTATAAGGACTCCAAAATAAAGGTACGCATAATTTTCGGAAACTCCCATATAGACCCCTTTAAAGGAAACCCCAAATTCCCAAACCCGAGAGCGAGCTGAGGAGCGACTGGCGGAACGCGTGGCCAGGCTGCGCGAGCGATTCGGCTGGCTCTCCGGCGAGAGCAAAGGCGGGACGGGGCCTGGGTAGGGGTTTAGGGTTCAGGGGTTTAGGGTTTAGGGTTCAGGCGTTTCGGGGTTTAGGGGTCTAGGGTTTAGGGGCTGAGGGTTCAGGCTCCCCGGCGACAGCAAAGGCGGGATTCTAAGGTTGGAAGTATGGGCCCCTCATATGGAGCCTTAGGCCTTTTTGAGGGAGTTCTAGGGACCCTTCAGAGTCTATATAGGGCATGAGGGATGGGCTTAGGGTTGTTATGGGTGCTTAAGACGGACCTTGAAAAGGAGACCCCATCATAGAACCCTAGAGTACCCTCTTAAAGGGGGACCCTACTACAGAACCCCATAGTACCCCTTAGGGTTGTTATGGGTTTAGGAATTGAGGGTGTGTTTTTTAAATGGGTTTAGGGTTTTGTGGGTTTAGGAATCTAGGGGTCTAGGTGTTTATGGTTTAGAAGTTTACGGCCTTCAGAGTTTTATGGGTTTTGTGGTTTAGGAATCTAGGGCCGGTGGGGCTTTAGGGTTTGATCCCCTTCCTAGTTGAGACTGGAACCCTGCAGTTCCTGACAGAGTCACATGGGCTTCTGAGTTTCTGAGGCCTCAAACCCTAACTAGCCCCAGGCCCCACTTGGAGGTTCAGGGGTAGTGAGAAGTTATAAGTCCCCTAATACGGGTTATAAGTATAGTTGCCCTACTTATAACCCTACTTATGCTATAACTACCCTAAACCCTATAGCCCTATAGCCCCCTAGATCCCTTTAACGGAACCCTAGACCCTACTTATAACTACCCTTGAACCTCCAAGCAGGCCGTGTCAAGGCTTCGGCCTGGGTCTCCCAAGGCCAAAATTTGAATTTCAGTCGAAGGTTTGATCGGTTTAGTGTATAGGGTTCCTTGCTGATGTCTCATGGGTGGTTGTCAAAATTAGGGTCCTTTTTTTGGGTCCTTATTATAATACGGCACCAAAAAGGGACCATAATTTTGACAACCACCCTCATGAAGACCTTGAGAGCCCAGCTTGCCGGCATACAACCACAGCCCGTGCTGAAAAGGGTTCCTGGGATTGCTTCAGTTTAAGGTTCAGGGTTCATGGGCTTGCTTCGGGGGCGTGATCATTTTCCCAGCCTGGGTTCGAGTGTGATTGGTTCTCTTGCGCAGGGAAAAGGCAACTTATAGTGCTTTGCAGCACCATAGAGTTCTGTACCAAGCAAGAGCTTAAAGACAGCATTTCCGGAATATCTTGGTATTGAGTGAGGCTTCCTATGGGAGCTCTGAAAAACGGGGCATCTAAGCCTAAACCGTCATAGACCCTGCCGGGAACCCTGAGCCCTGAGCAAGCCAGAGCGAAAGGTCCGGATCAGGTGAGATCCTTTCAGTTCCGCATGATCGAGCTCCAGGACCCGATCCTCGTGATATGTTCTTATACTGACAGTGATACCGTTGATGATATAAATCTTGCGATGCTGTTGATGATATAAATCTTGCACTACCTCAAGGACCCTAGACTATGGGAGTTATGGTACATACCTTCCTTATTCTGGGTAATGCAGGATTTATATCATCAACCGTCGCAATGATAGCAATAGTTGTAGTAGTAGTTTTGATACTAGCAAGACTGGTGATAATTTTAAGGTGTTTGTTCATGAAGGGCTTCTCACTGCACGGCAAGGACACCTGCTTTATGCAGCTTTCCTTTGTTGATTTCTCGTTCCTTTCTGGACTGGAAGCTGACCCTAAACCCTAAACCCTATGCTCCAAATCCTAAACCCTAAGCCCGAAACCTCGAAGCCCCCAGACCTTAAAACCCCTAAACCGCGCTGAAGCTGAGAGCTTGCCTTAAGTACCTTAGTTGGGGTTATAAGTACATAAAGCTATAGTTGCCTTACTTATAACCCTACCTACTAAGTCCCATGAACCTCTAAGTAGACCCTAAACCCTAAGCTAAACCTTATAGATCCCTTTAAGGAACCCTATAGATCCCTTTAAGGGGCCCTTTACTAAGTCCCATGAACCTCCAAGTAGACCCTAAACCCCCATAGATCCCTTTAAGGAACCCTACAGATCCCTTTAAGGGGCCCTTTACTAAGTCCCATGAACCTCCAAGTAGACCCTAAACCCTAAACTAAACCTTATAGATCCCTTTAAGGAACCCTATAGATCCCTTTAAGGGGCCCTTTAGTAAGTCCCATGAACCTCCAAGTAGACTCTAAACCCTAAACCCCCATAGATCCCTTTAAGAAACCCGGTAGATCCCTTTAAAGGGCCCTTTACTAAGTCCGATGAACCTCCCAAGTAGACCCTAAACCCTAAACCCCCATAGATCCCTTTAAGGTGCCCTTTACTAAGTCCCATGAACCTCCAAGCAGCATCGGAGGAGCTCTTCACCGACCCAGACCGAGACCTGCATGAGATCTGGAGATCGGTTTTTGCAGTGCTTAGGGTTTGACAGGGTTTGGGGCTTAAAAGGGGGTTTAGGGTTTGAAAGGGTTTAGGGCTTAAAAGGGTTTGGGGTTTAAAAGGGTTTAGGGTGTAGTGTATATATAAAAAGGGCTTAAAAGGCTTTAGCGTGGTTAGGGTTGCAAAGGGTGTTTAGGGAGTAGTGTTCAAAGAGGTTTAGGGTTATTGCGGTTTATGGTTTAGGGTGTTTGGGGTTTAGGGTTTTGTGAGGCTTCGGGTTCGCAGCTTGTGGGATTCAGTGACAGGGATCAGGATAGATTCGGCTGGATGGCTCAGGGCTTTATTAAGCCTAAACCCTAAACCCACATTCACGACAATGGAAATGACGAAAGGATCACGGCGGTCACATAGTCATGTCAGTAGTTTTGAGAAGCACGATCCCTACAACGGGCATTGCCAGGCCATACTGGTTTCTCGGGATGCACTTAAACTCTGAGCTTCAAACTGAAAGCTGGTATCAGTTTGAAACAAAAGCTCAAGTTCTCAACCCGTATGTAAATCCTAAACCCTAGGTCGCTTTGCAGTTTCGCTCGTGTCCGCACCCCATGCCATAAACATGAACCCTTCTTCATCCTAAACCCAGACCCTTGAACTCAGTTTCCTGACACCAAAATCGGGCTTAGGTGCTGATCAACTGATCTAATGCTACTTGGAGGATCACGGAGCCGATGGTAGATTTGATATTGGTACTACAGAGGCCTGAATAATCTCCTTTACTCACAAAGCCCTTGGAAGCTGACTTCGCCAGCCGCACCGCTCCGTTGGGAATGCTCCACGCGACAAGTGATACTGTTGATGAGATAAATCCTGCATTACCTTAAGAACGCTAAACTATGGGAATTATGGTATATTCCTTCTTATGGGTAATGCAGGATTTGTATCATCAACCGTAGTGATGCAAATCTCTTCCTTGAGACCCAGGACGCCGGAGTCTGCAAGTCCCTCACCAAGGAGCAACAGAAGAAGTGCGCAAGACTTGCCGAAAAGGTGTCAATGGCCATTGCGTGTAGCGCTGACCCACGGTTTAGGGTTTAGGGTTTAGGGTTTAGGGTTTAGGGTTTAGGGTTTAGGGTTTAGGCTCAGAAACTGGTCAAACAGTTGCTGTCGCTCACAGGCTCGGACATCATGAATGCCCGCAGGATGGTTCAAGACGGCATTCCTGTGTCTCTGGTTGGTGGGGACACCGACACAGAGGCAGAGACTTGGACTGATACAGAGGAGTTTGCCCACATCATCAAGAACCTTCCCGACAAGATGAAGGACGGTGAAAGCTTCTACATCGGCGACTATGATGTCCTTGACCTTGGTGCCAACACCGCAAGGAAGCATGGGGTGGCAGTCCCTAATTTTGGTGGTTCCTTATGACAATTATACTGCATTGGGCATCAAGGCCCCTCTACTATATAGTACCCTTATAGACCCCTTATAGTAACCCATATAGATCCAGTATCGTAGCCCTATTCTACTTATTAAGGCCCCTCTACTATATAGTACCCGTATAGATCTCTTATAGCAGCCCTATTCTAATCATTCAGGCCCCTTATGGTATCGAAAGTGTCCGAACTCGTGCTTTGCCTTTGGAGCCACTTTTGCCAAGTGGAAACCAGGGGTCCGAGCCCACACCTCGAAGCTCTCGAGGCCTGCAGCTTCTTTTAGGGCTTTAGGGTTTAGGGTTTTAGGGCTTTAGGGTTTAGGGTTTTAGGGCTTTAGGGTTTAGGGTTTTAGGGCTTTAGGGTTTAGGGTTTTAGGGCTTTAGGGTTTAGGGTTTTAGGGCTTTAGGGCTTTACGGTTTAGGGTTTAGGGTTTTACCTATCATATATTTATTTTTCAAATCTTCTATCCATCTATCTACCTACCCTATCTATCTGTCTGTCTGTCTGTCTGTCTATCTGTCTATCTATCTTGACCTCATAATGAATATGTATGTCTTTTGCATATACACATATGCTTGCGTGTCTGTGTGCCTGCGTGTGTTTGCATGTGTGTTTATATATATATATATATATACGCACACATGCATACATACACACGCAATTGCATACACACATACACACATCCGAAAATACTCACTCCCACTCTTAATTCCACTGAGACCTCAGTTCCACCTGCTGAAGCTCGGAGCCGTCAACCCGAGCCCTACGCCCTGAGCCCCAGGAACCCGCGAGCCCAAAACCCGCCAAGGAAGCTCCTTCTCCGTGGTGACGATCCCAACGACCTTGGCGTTGGAGGAAACCAAACGTCTGCTGGTGCAGCTGGAGGAGCAGGAGAGCTCTCAGGGCTACAGCTTATACTTAGATCCCCAATACCCTTTTATTTATTGGGGCAGTAAGTATAGAGGTGATGCACCCTCGATGGAAAAGTCCCTCTCTCTTGTTGGCATTCTTGCGGAAGTGAACTTGAAAGCATTTTTGCTGTTAACTGCCACATGCGAGTCTTGGGCCTGTGAGAGCGACCAGTGACAAGCATGGACAGGTTGGCAGTGCCTGGAACTCCATTTGTCGTTGTTGCTGTTGCTGCTGCTGCTGCTTCGGGATATCCTAATTTGGGGGTTTCCAAAAACAGGGAAGCCTAATAAAGTACCCTAAATAGTAGGTCCTTATGATACGGACCCCAAAACAAGGTGCTCCAAATTCTCGGAAACTCCCCCAAAAAACGGTGCTCCCCGGCTCTTCTGGATTTGGCCTCGGTTCGGTTTGCTTCTGTGTCCGTCGGCACAACAATGTGTAAAGCTCTACCTCCGACCCTTGGGCTTCCATAATGCGGAACAGGGTTTTGGGGCCATTCAGCTATAACTCTACCCTAAGGGTCCAAGTGCCCAATTATCATATACTCTCAAAAGTAGTAACCTACATAACTACTATCCCAAACTTGAGTACCTAATTATTGGGTCGTTTGGACCCTCAGGGATAATATGGAACCCTAAAGTAGTATAGGTAGTTGCCCTGAATCCCCCAACTTATCAAACTCGAGACTACCAAACCTGAAACTTAAAACTCAAGAACAAGTTCTAAACCCAAACCGTGGAACCCCCAAACCTTGAATCTCTAGGACATCCGCTGCGGTCTGGTTCGGGCCTTGGACAAGTCGATCTACTTTCGGGTCTACTCGAGGTTTAGCCTTAGCGTTGTGGGGCGGCTGGCTTTGGGGTTTAGGGTTGAGGGCAGGGTTTGTTTTAACAGATATTTGGAAGTCTACTGGTCAGGGTGTGGGCAAATCCGAAGCCCTCGGCTGCGAGGCATGGTGTAGTGAGTGTAGTGCATTACAGTGTATTCAATCGCTCGTGATGGAGTTACCGTGGCAGCGGTGATTTTGAGAAGGTCGGTCACAGTGCAAAGCATCCGGGGCCCACTGATTCCTTGCGCGGAGGATCACCTTGGGCCACGATAAATTACTAGCAGCATCTTCTGCAAAGGTCATCGCCAACCGCATCCTGGACATCGAGCAGGTGCCCACCCGCCAACAAATCTTGATTCTTGATTGAGTCTCTGAACCTGTTCGTTGGGTCGCAAGCTCTTAGTGAGGGTTTTGGGCTGTTGGTGTTTGACTCCGTTAGGGTGCCGCATTTGTAGCTTTCGGGTGCAGAGTTTTCAGGGTCTCCTTCAGGATCAGGACCGAGGTCACAAGCAAAAGCACATCCAAAGCCCCTTAACTACCCTAAGACCCTAAAGTTGTAAAGCTTCAACACCTCACCGAGGCCCCCTGAACCCGAAACCCCCTTCCACAGGCGATGAAGAGCCCGTGTACATGTCATTGCAATGCAACCGCCTAATTCACATGCTCCCATATGCTCTTGAAAGGCCGTTGCGGTTAAGACAGAAGGACCGGACTGCCCGAAAGTTCAGTTCCTGCGGACACCTACGTTCGTATGTAGCAATCAGATTTTCCGAATTTATCAGGCTCCACATGCGATTGATGTGCAGCTGCGGTCGAGTCTAGTGTGGTTCCAGCCTAGTCTCCTAGCCCTTTGCCCTAGTTTTGGGTAACATGTTGCATGTTTATTGGTACTTAACCTCAATAAGGCATAGAACTTTAGATTGTTAATGCCACCCTCACCATGAGCTAGAGTCCCTAAACCCCTGAAACCCCAAACCGAAAGCCTAAGCGCCGATGTCTTACCACGTCAGGTGGGCCAGATGGCGGCAAGCCAGCAGAAGACTCAGCAGGCCCAGAAATTGGGCATGCTGCGATCCTGTCTTCAGCAAGCTGCGGGCTTTAACGATGTACCCTACACCCTATAGAACCCTATAGTCGTTCCATTCTGGGATTCATATTGAGAATCCTATAAGGTAATCCGCAAAAGGAACTACTATGGAGCCTATGGGTAAACCCTATAGACCCATAAACCCTAACAACATCTGGTAAGAGACTAGCCCAAAACCCCTATACACCCGAAACCCTTACAGCAATTACCCCCACAAGCCCCAAACCCCGAAACCCCTAACCCTAAACCTCGAAACCCTATTAAGCCTGAGCACCAAACCCCGAAACCCTAAACCCCCATGTTGGCTGGTATGTTTACTGTCATTATGACTCTCCCGTTAGTGCAGTTTCACTCTTCAGACTCCGAAGCACATGCCTCGCCTGGATTGTCTGAGTGTGAGCGCCGAAACCCCCCATAAATTATAATCCCTAAAGCCCGAAACCCCAAAACCCCTATAACCCCCCACAAAAACCCACCGAAACCCAAGTATCTCCTCCGGGCATAGCTTTGTGGCAGGTAGCTTTGGAGGCTCTGGAAGCTCTCGCCAAGAAGGAAGGATTGGAGGTGCCACCAGCAGCTAGTAGTAGTAGTAGTAGTAGTAGTAGTAGTAGTCGTAGTCGTAGTCGTAATTGTAGTAGTAGTCGTCGTCGTCGTCGTAGTAGTAGTAGTAGCCAGGATCCCCCCTTTGCGGTTTAGGGTCTAGGTTTGGCATACACTGCAAAAAAGAGTTTAGGGTTTTAAGGCCCTTTCGTAGAGCCCTTGTGGTCCTTTTTTGTGGTATCTAGGGTACATTAGAGGGTTAGTTAAAGTTGGGGGTTCTGCAGGAGAGACTTAGTAGCTGAGTAGGTAGCCTTTAACTTATCTTGGGGTTTCTATAACCCTGCCATAATACAAAGGATCAGCCTTGTTTGGGTACTTTGCCCCTAAATGAGAGATTTTGCTGGTCCCTTCTTCCTTTGCTTGACTTCCGCCGTGTTTGTTCTGATCTCTCCGCCGTTCAATGCACTGGGTGCCGACGTTTGTTTTTCTTCGATCTCCAAATCCCTTCTTTTGTCCGTACCTCAGGTTTACATCCAACACGTCTTGTCAATCCCTGCCTCATTGTTTTTTGATTCCTCACCTCCCTATCTATGGCTGCCTCTCCACCTCCTCCTCCTCCTCCTCCTCCTCCTCCTCCTCCTCCTCCGCTTCTTCAGGGTCTGACTAATACTTGGTCGGAAGTAGGCGTTTCTATGGTCCCTATCCAACCATACGATGGTAGAAGCGCAAACCCTATCAAGGCCTCCGTGCAAAACCGTAAACCCTTGCAATCAGTTTCTGGAAAACCAACCGTAAGCAACCCTACAGAAGCGAATTGTCATGAACATGGCCGCTTGTTTCCGGACCCTATACCTTTGTCATGGTTGGGTAACCTTTTACATTTTTATGGGTACTTAAACCCAATAAGGAAGTAAAATGTACATTTTAATCCTAGGCCAACAATGATCCAGATACCCTAAACCCTAAAACTCCTAAGCCTGAAAACGATGAGACCCCTGACCTAAATCCCAGTGCGCGAGATCGACGGTTGCTTAACGAGCACGGTAGTAAATTAGTAACCCTTACAACGGCCACCCGTGAGTAACCCCTGAAGCTCGTACTGCCAGTTCCGACATCCATAGGAGCCCGAGGATATTCTTGCAAATTCAGGCTTCATCGGGCGTGTAAGTAGGTCTTTCAATCCATGCCCCACTTTGTTTGAACACCCTTTTTCCACGATGCCACTTGGGTTGTCTAGCCAGACATGCTTGAGAGGTGGTTCGCGTGCCGTACCTCGATCGTGAGGTGCAGGGTATCTATGGCTTGCAGTACTTAGGAAGGAATCTCGTGGAAGCATGAGCAAAAGAAACCCTAAACCCCTAAACTGAGCATAAATAATGCGGCTTTCATCAGCGAACCTCCGTCCCCCTGTTCGGATCTGCTGTAGAGTACGTCACTAAGAGAACGTGGACCATATCGGGGCCCCCCGGTCACATAGCACATGGGCTGTTGTCAAAAATTATGGTCCCTTTGTGGGTCCTAAATATACCACGGCACCTAATATTTAGGGTGCCCCGAAAGGGACCATCATTTTGACAACTACCCACATGATCAAGGAAGCTTTTTGCGGGGATGGAGTGTGGATTAGGGATGCTGGCGAGCGGATCTAGGGCTCCCACGGTTTAGTTTAAGCCATCTACAGGTGGGTAGTTTTAAGGTGGGTAGTCTCCCATAAGCCTTCCATACCACTCCTATAAGGTAAAGGGGTCTTATGGGAGTACTATGGAAGAGGAACTACCCACCTGAAATGGGCTTCTATTTAGGGTTGAGGGTTTAGGGCTTATGATTTCGGGTTCTGTGTTGACTCGTAAAGATCTTACATCAGAAACGCCTCAATAACTTGTCTCACGCCTTTTTTTCCTTTTTTGGTATTGTGTTGGCCCAATTGTAGAAAGCCCGAAGCCACGAGCTACCAAAGGCCGTTTACGGCTCTTCAGACCAGGTCTATGCAAACACACTCACAGGGACTCCAAAAAGCACATAAGCATAAGCTTTTTATGGGGATATCCCTACCTTCATACTAATGACCTTCATTATAAGGGGTTTATACGGGATATCCCTATCCTTGGTTTTGCTTATGCTTTTTGGGGATCTATATTGCGCAAGGTCGCAGTCATCTCGGTGGGATGGTAGGGCCCCATGGAATTCAGGCATGGGGTTTAGGGAGCATCGTGTATCTACCTAGGGCTCAGGGCCTGGCCCGAAGACCTGAATATCGGTCTTGCGCGGTGCGATGCCCATGAGATTCCACGAGATCGGAAATATGTTTAAAGCTTCTGGCAGGGAGGAACTACGCCATTTTGCCCATTCTGCCAATATTTCAAACACCCTTGAATTGAGAGAAGCGCGAGGCCACTTGGGGCGTAGGTTACCTTTGGCGTTTCTGCCCCAAGGGCCCAGTTTGCGATAACAGACACGTATCTCGAACATGTAGACACAGCGAGGATATTTCCGGGATCCCAAATTGAATATCCTCATCCTCTCTATGTGACGATGCCACAAAACCCTAAACTCCTACAACCTACACCCTAAACTCGAAGTACCCCTAAGCTTTCCTACCTGGGCCAGAGCTGCAGCGTCTGCTGCGGTACAGTCTAGAGCCCTCGATATCGGGGATGCCAAGAGGTGGGATGAAGCTTAAGGCTCCCTTCGTGCAAGGACTTTCATTTTCCCTAAGGGTCGATGTACCAATGTAGTATATACTTAGGCCCCGATGTACCTATATTGGGACTACTTTAAGCCCAATGTATATACTATATGGGTACATGGACCCTTAGGGTTTGGGACTAGAATCCTAAACCCTAAACACTACAGTCTAAACTAGGTAGGCTTAAGGGCCCCATTTGGTAAGGACATCCCACCCCTGGAGTGGCTTGGTTCGAGCGGATGCGACGGGGGAGAACAGCGAATCGATAGTCTGTACCGTACGCGCCTCAATAGATTACCGATGTTATTCCTTAGGGTTCCTGTCTGTGAGTATGCTGCATAATGTGCACCCCAAAACCAATTCTGATTGCTCAGGCCTATATTGAATTATGGGATTTGGGATGCCTTATACCGCAAGGCTAGGAGCCTAACCCCTTCACCCTGAAAGCCCCAGAACCCAGAACCTGGATTTGCTGATCTCCACAGCTAGAGACGACGCGGCAAACGAAAACATCGAAGTCAGCAGTCGGCATGTGAGGGAGCAGTTCCTTTTTGGAAGCAGCTCGAATCTTGACTGCGGCCGATCCACGCCCTAAAACCCGAAGACAGGCTCATGTTGGCAAAAGACCCTTTTGAATCCCTAAACCCCCAAACCCTAGACCCTAAACCGAAACTTTTGAACTAAGAACTTCCCCGAAAGCCCCGAGGATCGGGCCCCACTTCCTACCAAGGCGTTTGGGCTTGTTTTTCTTCGCCAGTTCTGCCTCGGCGCCACGACAGACCGGGGCATTTGGGGCTGTGGGTGTTGATTAGGATTTACGGTTTAGGGCTTAGGTTTTATGCAATAGGGTGTAGGATTTAGGGTTCATGGTTGTTTTGGGTACCTATGATGCCCTACAGTTCTGCGGGTTCCGAGCCCAGCCCGGCGCATAATGCCTCCATGGGTGCTGAGGTCGTAAAAGCCTGGGCCCCCAGCCCTATGGCTTGCGGCCAAAAGGCATCGCAAGCTCCTAGACCCCCAAGCAGCTCCCAGTCAGCCAGAGCTTATGATCAACGGCACGTGTAAAGCTTTCGATCACGCTGCAGTTAGAACGCCACAAACATCGCGGGCCATCGAAGCAAGTCGGCAATCTGGCTTCATGGTATCAGTTTCCCCGACGCAGTAAATCTTTCCTCGAAGCCCGAAACCCTTGAGCCTGCACACACCAGAAGTATCTGAGGCCGAAGTGAACAACTAAGGAATGAGGAGGGGATGCTATCTTCGCATGCCTAGGCCTCAAGTGCCCGTGCCTACAGTCTCCCTTGTAGTTGTTTTGTTTGGGTTAACAGTTTAATAGTCAGCATCCTATAAGGTATCCTCGAGAAGGAATGTCAGTTGAGACCAAAGGTAGGTGCTGATGCTGATGAAGAGGGCAAATGCAGGCCGACTTCATGGCTTGGGGTTGAGTTGTTCGCTTCGTGTTGCGATTCTCAGTGTTGCCACACTCAACTCTAATCCTAGGACCCTGGTCCGTCCGAGTGTGAGCGCCGAAACCCTAAACAACAACCCAAGCAGCCTGATACTTATAGGGTTTAGGGTTTAGGGTAAGCCTTTAAACCCGAAAAGCCGAAACCCGAGCGCAGAAATGCCACGGCCACCGCCGCACGGCTCAGCTAAAGAACCGAGTAGCGATTCGCCATGCCGGGCGAAACCGAGGCCGGTCGTGGACAGGGAGAAGAGGGTTTGTGGGCTCAGGGAGAAGAGGGTTTCCTGGGCTCTTGGTCAATGCTTCAGCTTCAGTAGGCAGGTTTCGTTAACGGTATCCATCCCTCACTACCGCAGCTTAAGCGAAGCCGCTCGTAGGAAATGGCTGCAAGCCGACAGACTGAGAGAACGACCTCGCTTGGGTGAGAGAATCTTCCCGATCAGCGTGATTATGCTGGGGGGTTCGGGCTTGGGTGGCGACAGAAGTCCCTGAAGGTTCTTTCTCACCCACATAGCTCGCGTCGGAAGGGATTCTTCCGAGACCCTAAACCCAAAAACCCAAACACATGTCGTTTGGACTGGTATGGTACTTGTTGCTGTAGGTGATATCACGATTACGACTACGGGTATCATTGCTTTTTCTGTTATTATTGGTATTGTTGTTTGCATCAATTTGCATTTGCTTTTGTGTTTGTACTACTATACTCTTTTCCAGTACCGTTATTCTTCTTATCGTTAGTCTTGTTAAAATATTGTTATTGTTCGTACTCTTTTTATTGATGGCTGCGGTTGTTTGTTATTATTTTGCTTGTTTTCGACGGTCATAAAGGGCTTCAATGCAACGGTTCGTTTAGGGTTGCGAGTTTGAAGGTTGTTTCCAACCTGACAGCCTCCTCTTCTGCCGGTTCTTGGCGAAGCCTTTTGAATTATGCAACCTCCTGTGAGCCGCGTGACCTTTGTCTACGTACTAAAGCAATAGTACTTAGAAGCTGCCCCCACCCTGTAATAGTGGTATAATAGGAATATAATAGGGCCCTAATATAATCCTATATAATCCTTATAGTCACTATTACAGGGTGGGGGCAGCTTCTAAAATAGTACCTCAGCCAACTTCAATGGCCTGATACTCCTCGCCAAGCTGAAAAGGCTCTGCACTCTGAACCTCGGAACCCGGAGGCGCCAACAGAGTCATCCCATGAGATCCCGAACTGTCGAATCAAATCCCCAAGCCGCGACACCCGAAGCCCCAGAGACCCGCGTCTCTCCAACCCGTGGAGCATCAGAAGACCGTCACCCCCCAACAGCCCTCGTCCCTGAAACCTAAACCCTCGGCTTACTATAGGGGCTAAATAAAAGCCAGTACTATTTTGGGGGTTCCTGAATACAACACTATAATTAGTATACCCCAAAAAGCCATATTCTATGTATTCAGGCCCCTCATATATGATCTATTCTTATAGATCCTGTCTAGACCCCTTTAAGGAAGCCCTTAAAGGGACTGTTCTAATTATTCAGGCCCTGGGCTTAAGCACTCGCCAGCCACTAGGCTGCCGCGGATGCCGCGGCAGAAAAGCTGCTCCCCTGGGCTCTGATGGGTTTAGGGTTTAGGGATATATATATATATATAATATATATATATAATATATATATATATATATATATAATATATATATATATATATATATATATATATATATATATAGGTTTTTGTGGTTTGGGGTTTAGGGATTTATAGGTTTTGGGGGTTTGGGGTCTAGGGATTTATAGGTTTTGGGGGTTTTGGGGGTTTAGGGGTTTAGGGTTGAGGGTTGTCGGCCTCGGTCAAGATGATTGTGGGTCGTAGACTGGCTAGACTTGAGTCCAGTGGTAAAAAAAGGGTTGAGGGTAGTGCATTTTGGTTTTGCTGACTGGAAGGACGCGGTTTTGGCGTAGCTACGTAGGTTATAACGTAACTATCTTTCGACGACAGCGGGGGATATTACTTACGAAGTTTTCAGATGTGTATTTCCGAATCAATATAAGAAAGGTCCTGCTCCTTAGGACATACCTTCGTGACCCACCAATAAGCCTAGCTGTTTTCAGAAGCACAGGTTCAAGCAGAGCTTAACTTTAGCATCCAGGAATTTCCCGACATTCCCAGCTTGTTTGGGTCTGTGGTTTTGTGATCTACCTATCTACATAGACTCTC